CGGGACGCTGAGGGAAGGAGGGGGTGTGTGTGGGGGGGGTTCCCTCCTGGGCCGCCTCCTTGGCAGCTGCGCTTCAGAAATGAGGAGGGAGGAGGGAGGGCGGCCCGGCGGCTGCCGCTTCTGAGGGGGGACCTGCCGAATGTAAACCCGCCGTGCCTTCCTGGGGGACACGCCGCGATCCTCCCCAGCTCTCCGGGAGGGAGAATCGGGCTGAAAACCCGCCTTTTCCGACCGCCTGATGGAAGGGACGCCTCGGCTCGGCTGGCTGGCCCCCTCCGGCCGCCTGAGGCGAGAAGAGGAGGAGGCCTCCCCGCCGGCCCGGCCCCGCCCGCCGCACGGCAGCGACACGGCCGTGAGGGAGCAGGCGAAGGGGCGGTGGGGAACCGAGAAGAGGAGGAGGAGGAGGGGACGGAGGAGCCCCCGGAGCGGTGGGCCGGGAGCAGATGTTGCCTGAGGAGCGAAACGGGGGCGTTCCTGGCCGCGGGGCGAGCCGGGGAGAGGGACGGCCTCGCCGGGCGGGACGCTGAGGGAAGGAGGGGGTGTGTGTGGGGGGGGTTCCCTCCTGGGCCGCCTCCTTGGCAGCTGCGCTTCAGAAATGAGGAGGGAGGAGGGAGGGCGGCCCGGCGGCTGCCGCTTCTGAGGGGGGACCTGCCGAATGTAAACCCGCCGTGCCTTCCTGGGGGACACGCCGCGATCCTCCCCAGCTCTCCGGGAGGGAGAATCGGGCTGAAAACCCGCCTTTTCCGACCGCCTGATGGAAGGGACGCCTCGGCTCGGCTGCTAGAAAGTGATGTTTTCCTGCGGGACTCGCGGAGGCACCGCGGACGAGCCCGGTACAAGAGGAGGATAAGCTGCCTTTCGGGATCAAGGTTATTTATAGTTGCTGCCAAAAAAGTAAAGGGCTGGTTTATTATTCTTACTGGGCTGGATTTAACTTATTTCTTCTCCCCACCCACCCCCCCCACAAGATTTTCTTCGTGCCTTGGTCTGAACCCTACACAGCCACTGTGGATTCGGTGTTTTTAAGCTGCCGCCCCGTGTTTTATTTATAAAGGAGATGGGACTCTGCAAACCAGTTAAATGGATTACAGTTAAGTCACCTACAGAAGATAACGTGCCGCCTTCTGTAACGCTGGCTCATTCGGAAGGCTTAACCGGGAATTTCAGATACAGATTCTGAGCTGGAAAAATAGATGAAGCCTTCCGTGGAGCGTTTGAAATATTTGAGCCATTGCTGGGTTTTGCTATACTTTTTTTTTTTTTTTTTCTGTGACATTGGAAGATTTCTGTTAATTTTCTTACTGAAGCACTTTATATTTTAGAGGGAGGGGAGAAAAACCTCACATCCAGGTAAAGTTGCATTTAAACTGATGCACTGATTATGAATGACCTCAGCCACCTCGTAAGTTGTGATGTCTATTTCGTATCTATGCATCTTAAGCTAAGGGCAAGTTTACTATAATTCTTCAGACTGCTAGCGTGTTTTTTAAATGTTTCCCCTGCATCCCTGAGAACAGAGGTATAGTGGTGTACTTGTGCAAATACTTCCAGGATGGGGAAGCCGCTTAGCAGGCCAGACTGTCTACGTCAGAATCCTCCATGTGTTGGCAAAGGGGAAGAAGATGAAGATCTAAATATTGAGGACTGTTACGTTCCCCAGAGGTCCATCTATGACACCGTGAGGCTGAATGAACAGATCGATTCGGGCTCCAAGGGCAGCCTCTCCTCGAGGCATTTCACGGACCGGACCTTACCCTACAGTCACAGAACACTGGACATCAGCACTTTGTGCTCCAATGGTGCCCTTACTTCTTCCAGTGTTTTTGAGCTCCGGAGCCGTGAAGCTAGTAAGTTAGATGAAAAAATGATCTTTGATGCTCTCAAACTGAACAGCGATATCATTCGGACAGCTGGGTTACCCAAAGCAAAGTCTCACACAGAAAAAAAGGAGCACAGGAGATCGTGGAGAATGTTTGTTCCGCCCAACTTTTCAGATTACACTAATAAAAGCGAATGCTCTTTTAATGAAACTGCTGATATGTCAGATACAGCTAGATCAGGCAAATGCAAGTGGGGTACGAATTCTCTTACCTCGGAAGAGGATGATTCTGGTTTATGCAGCCCTCCAACAGAAAGGGAAGAAAAGCAAGATACACTGTTAGCAGGGGAACAAGCTCAAATACAAAGTTTATCTTCTGCAGAAGATATCCACGCAGTAGGTCAGTTCAGACCCTATTTCCCAGCAGTTTGCAGAGAGCAGCAAACCACACTGCTTGCAAACAGTAGTGTCCCTGTCAAAGAAAGCTGCAGATTGGCTTTGCATGATGTTTTACCCTCTGGAAAAGTAAAACAAAGCAACGCGCAGACATTTGAGACGGATCAGGAAGAGGTGGGGGGCAAACACTCTCACTTACAAGGTTTCAAAGAGAAAACTCTGGCACAGGAAGATCCTCTTCAAAGGGATGGGAGAAGTATTTCCCTTGACGAAAACGAAGTGGAAAATGCATATGAAGTTCATGAAAAAACTAAAACACGAGTCACAACAGCAAAGGAGGATTATGTGGATGGTGGATGTCATGATGTAGATGTTTATTATTCAAATATTGCTGTAAATACTAGTAGCTTGGATTTAGCAAAATACGAGATTTCATCTGATACAGAGGAATCCAGTCTAGCGTGTACAGGCTCAAATGAAGTGGCGTTGTCTGTTGAACAGCGTGAATTGGATAGTCCTGTAAACTGTCCAAAAGCTGTCCCAGAGAGAAGTAAAGGCAATATCTGGACTACTGGCATCCAAGAAACCTTGGATACAGTCTGCAATGGCCTATTGTCTAACAAGGTAATTAAAAAAAAAAAAAAATCCACAGGTTTTTGAAGTAGCCGTAATGCAACCTGGAAGATATTTGTTTAAAGCTTTCTTTAAGTTTCGTTGTTGCAAAAATGTAAGTTTTTTTTATTAATTTGGCAGATGCAGTAATGAGTGTAATTTGCATAGCACAGGCAGTGTCCAAAATAGGTGAGGCGGTGGGTTCAGAAGATGAATTAGGGGCAGACCCTGGGAGGGATGATTGCTTCCAGCTGTGTGGGGCAGGGTTATTTATTGTGCAGCTGGTGCCTGGTTTCTCCCGGTTTGGCCGTGCACCCCCCGGGTTGGTGCTGGGTTCAAGGGCAGCTACAGCCCGTGTGTTCAGCCTTACTCATCAAGGTACAAGCGACGGTATCAGATCCTTGTGGTTTCCAGAGCAGGCAGATTAAAGGCTCCCCGCCTCTCCCCAAAGCCAACTCTGGCATTTGCGTGCCAGAAAGCAATCCTGACGTTACAGTAGTATTACAAGCGCAGGACCTTGCGAGTGGTGGATGAGGTAAGGGAGTTAAGAAGCGAAGCTTTGTAATAAGGGAAAGGGTGTTTTGTTGGGTCTGTAATTTTTTTCTTCCCACTCTGGTTGAAATCCGAGATGCTTCAAGCTTTGTTGCTAAGTTGTTCTGGTAAACTTTGGCCTCGGCAATAATTGTAATTTATTTTAAGCTTCTCCCTGCAAAGAATGCATGCGTTTGTAAAGGGCAGATTGTGGAGATCAGTCCTCTCTGCAGTAGGACGTTGCTCTCAAAAGATGAGGCTTTATGGCACATAAAAGAAGAATTTGTTATTGATTCTGTGTGGAAATATTATTCTGCCTCCTCCCTACCCTACAGTCAAGAAAAACAACAAGCTTTTTCCTTTTTCTGGGAGCAGCCAGCTGGTTGCACTCTCTCAGTGTTCGTGTAACCACAGCCTTCAAGTCTTGAGGTTCTTTTGTCCGTAGGAACAAAATTCTTAGGGATGCTTAATTTATTTCACCCCTTACCGTTTAGTGCAGTTGCTTTAGCATCTCGATTGACTTGTCAAGCCTGGCAGAAGCGTGCTCAGCCACCTGAGGGCTGCGCCTTGGGTGTTTGGTGCCAAAGAGGAGGGTCCCTGCTATGTCCAAAGGGATCCCTGCTTTTCAGGATGCTGAGAAAAGGTTGCTTTTGAATGCACTAAGTGTACACCAAAACTGTGACTGAATGCTGCTATAGAAATAGGAGGATTGAGGGTCAAAAGTTGAGCATTCTTTTAGCATTGTTTATTCATTGGTTATTTTTCACTGGCCTGTGTAATTAATTCAGGGGCTTCAGGCCATTTTCTGATCTCATTGACACTGGTGTCAGTGCAGCCTGATGCAGCTGAATACAAATGGAGATTTACATTGCTGTTGCTAATGGTAATAATTTGGCTCTGAAAAAGCTTAAATACCTGAAAGAGTAAAATAAAGCAAACAGAAAACTGCTCAAACTGCTCTTTGAGTGTGGTCAAACCCCTGGCAATTTGCAAGAATATCCCTCTGAATGAAAACCCATTCTCCTGGGCATCCGCAGGGATCCTGTTTCAGCAGCATCTGTAGTGCCTCCTCCTCACTTGTTGCCATTATATTCACCTAAAAATTGCCTCTTCCTTCACTACTACTTTAACTTCTGCTTTTTTGGAAAATAGTGTCCAGTTGTCTCTCTTGATGTGTGTGTGTTTGTTATTTATTTGAGGACAACTCAATCCTTCTGTGCCATTTTTTGGTAGATTTTGTAGGTGGGTAATTAAACTGATAAATGAGCTTTGCTAGTCTTGAATTTTTTCCTTTGCTAGAATATCTTTCTTTTTTTCTTTTTTTTTTTCCTAAAACTTTCCCCCCTACTCTCTCTCTCTCTCTCTTTCCTTCCTGTCTAAAACTACTCATGGAAGTGGAGGTCATTTTCCCTCTGTGATGTATTACATTTACTCTGTTTACATTGAGCCTATTCTGTTTAGATTGAATAATTTGTTTTCAGGAAGGTGCTGATGAGGATCGGTTTCCTTTCTTCTAGACACCAATTTTCAGTGCTTTTTGTTTGTTTGGGTGTTTTTTGTTTACATACTGTGATGTAAACGTCAGATGGGTTTTATGTCAGAAGATACAATGTTTCACGTGTGTCTTGGATTTCAACTGCAGGTATTCCAGAAAGAAGAAATCGAACCCCTGCAAGTAAAACAACAGGAGGTGAATTGGTTGGGTCAAGGCCTTATTCAAAGTGCTGCTAAAAGTACCAACACAGAAAACCTCGAACATGACCTTGAGGATGTCAACACCCGATGGAAGACTCTTAATAAGAAGGTTATTATTATTTTGTTTACTGTTCTGCTTTTCTTGTGTTCTGCTTTTTGATTATTTGCTGGCTGACGTCTTTCAAAATGCAGGAAATTAAATATTCACTAAGAATCTTGAGTTCTATTACTTCACACAATCTCTTTGTTGGCAATTCTGAGGATAAGATCGATATCACTAGTAATTGGAGGTTTTGTCAAACTTTCTATAGGTCTATCCTGGATTTTTATTCAGGAAAGACTCCTCTAGGACCGTGTGTTCCTTCCTGCTTAAGCACAGCAGGGAATTTTGATAACCCAATCGAGGAGGTTGGAAAAGTAGCTCTGTCATTTATAGCCAGCCACTTCCAAGTAGTTCTCCTTCAGTCTTTGTTCACCTGTTTTTTCCACTCTGTTGTGCTCATCCACGTACAGTGTTGTACCTCAGCAGTGATCCAGCCCAGCTTGGGGTGACTTGTGGCACATTTCCTTCACAGCACCTTAAGGATTGTATTGCTTGAGATGCTTTGGGAAACTGTCAGTAGATGTTTTTCTGTGGTTTTTGAAGAGTCCTCTTCCAGCAGTAGCTGCTGTTGGAAAATGGAAAGGGTGGGCAGTAGAAGCGGTGCTCGTTTTCCTCCACTCTGTCTCCCTGAAGGAGTGATGCAGCAGAACCACGGACACCTGTGGTTCACCAGTTTGCCTTCTCCTTTACTATTTCTTCTTCCCTTTGAAGGGATTATTGTCCATTATTAAGAGTTGCTATTTTGGGTGCCTGGCTCAGTCTTCCTATAAGGAAAATAAGACTGTGTGAAACACAAACATACTTCATAATACTGTAGCTATACAAACCAGGAGGATCTCTTGCAGGGAACTAGAGCAGTCTGATCTACTGGGAGTCAATCTCTTCTTTTCATTGGATGCCTGTAGCTCCAAAAAATTAATAGTAAATTGTCCCATAGTGCTTTTATAAATAGCTGTGAAAATGAGAATGTTGGTGATGTTGCCAGATGTTCTACAGATTTTTGCTGCTTATTTCAAAGAAAGAAAAGGTGAGTGCACTCTGATCCTCTGCTTTTTTCCAGGTTGCCCAGCGTGCTGCACAGTTGCAGGAAGCCCTGCTTCACTGTGGGAGATTTCAGGATGCCCTTGAATCTCTGCTTAGCTGGCTTATCGATACAGAAGACCTCGTGGCTAATCAAAAACCACCATCTGCTGAATTCAAAGTTGTGAAGGCCCAAATACAAGAACAGAAAGTAAGTGAAACGCGTTAAGAACATCTTGCCTTCCCTTGGATCAATGAGAATAAATTCCCAGTCTTTGACAAAGCATAAAATCTGTTTAAGTGTATTATATTACACTGAAGTGTGCTGAGGTGTTTAAAGCAGCCATCTGTTCCATACTCCAGAATCTGTCCAGGACTGGGAGAAGTGCTTGTCTTCTGGGACTTAAGACAAAGAGTGACACTGTGCAATCTGAGCTCTGGTTAGAATTGCTAACGTTATCCAGAAAGGGTTGTTAAAGGCCTATTGGAAAAAGAAAAAGCATAAAATCAGTGCTTGGCCATTTGGAAAGTAGGAGATAAAAATGAGTGAATTTTTATCATAATTGCAAGGTAATATTGCAGATTATGGACTTAAATACTTGACTCTTGATCCTCGTTGTGATCTAATTGTTGCTGGTAATTAGTTGGAATGCTGTTGGGAAATGGCCTGTGCTAATGTAAAGATGCTATCAGTGTTGTCAACTTTAGCAGATTTTCATAATGGTTATAGAAAAATGAACCATAACGTAGCTTATGAAACATACAGTCTATGGCACCCAGAGATTTCGGATAAAGTTAGTTAGTGTTGGGATATCTGCAGAGGCAAAATGTTACCAAAGGCAACTAGAGAATGGAGGAAGGGAGGATTTTAGACAGAATTGTGTTTTATTCTTCATGGAGAAGTTAATTGACTGGACTAGGTCAGTGAACTCAATTATATCTCAAACAAGTGGTGAGTTGATTATAGAATAGTTTTTATATCTATTTTCCTATCTCTGTATATATCAGAAATGTCTTCATGTTGCCAAATCTAGAAGGGCATGCAGCTTTCTCAAAAATGTTCCTATAAGATATATCAGATACTCTAAGTAGCTTGTTTCCCTCAATGGTATTAAATAGAACTATTTCTCTTATATGCTCACTCTTTGGGCTGCCCCACATCTTTACCCCATAGAAACCAAGGAGGTTGTAGCAAAACAATTGAGAAACTAAAGTGAGCAAGGCAGGTGGGGGGCAGGGGAGCGTGTCTCTTTTTTTGATTAGCATTATTCACACTTTCATCACAATATGGGTATTCCTTTTTCTTTTTTTTTTTTTTTTGCTTTAACAGGTTTTTCAAAAAGTCTAGCTCCTTTTGTTTTTCCACTTGTGTTATTCCAATGTTTCTTAATAACCTGGTGCCTGATGACTTTCTCTGTAGCTTCTCCAGAGGTTGCTGGATGACCGCAAGCCTACTGTTGAGGTCATCAAGCGGGAAGGGGAGAAAATTGCAGAGTCAGCAGAACCTGCTGATAAAGTGAAAATCCTGAAACAGTTGAGTTTGCTGGATAGCCGATGGGATGCCTTGCTCACTAAAGCTGAAACAAGGTATTTGAAATTATTTCATAGATTTGAAAAATGTAGACATAGCATGTGATAGATGATTAGAAGCAGCATGTGGAACTCTATAGTATGAAGTTCTATCATTCTTGTTATTATGTTACATTATTGTGCCTTGATGTTGATATAGTAGGTCTTCTGAAGGAAAAGGTGAGAAAAGTGACTTGATCAGACCAAAAGCTTTTTAAAAAAGTTTAGCCCAAGATACATATGCAGTAATCCTAGCAGATAGTAGTATCTTGAATATTTTATCTGTGTTAGTTCATTAGAATGCTCCTTTTGTTTTTCCACTTGTGTTATTCCAATGTTTCTTAATAACCTGGTGCCTGATGACTTTCTCTGTAGCTTCTCCAGAGGTTGCTGGATGACCGCAAGCCTACTGTTGAGGTCATCAAGCGGGAAGGGGAGAAAATTGCAGAGTCAGCAGAACCTGCTGATAAAGTGAAAATCCTGAAACAGTTGAGTTTGCTGGATAGCCGATGGGATGCCTTGCTCACTAAAGCTGAAACAAGGTATTTGAAATTATTTCATAGATTTGAAAAATGTAGACATAGCATGTGATAGATGATTAGAAGCAGCATGTGGAACTCTATAGTATGAAGTTCTATCATTCTTGTTATTATGTTACATTATTGTGCCTTGATGTTGATATAGTAGGTCTTCTGAAGGAAAAGGTGAGAAAAGTGACTTGGTCAGACCAAAAGCTTTTTAAAAAAGTTTAGCCCAAGATACTACAATCTGCTAGGATTACTGCATATATATCTTGAATATTTATCTGTGTTAGTTCATTAGAACGCAAGTTTCTTGATGCGAGAACCTGTTTGCATAGAATCAAGTGCAAATTTCATACTTAAGAAATAATAATGATCTTCCTTTGGAATTTCAAAATCCTGACATGCTGCTACAAAGCGGGGCCACTCAACTCTTCTTGCCTTTTTCTTTTTGGTGGTGTCCATATAATTATTTTCTACAATTTAGAGATCCTCATACTGTCAGTGACTGATGTACTGAGCTCACTTAGTTCTCAAGAAGAAAGACGACCATCAGAGTCTGTAGATATATTTTAGCAACACAGAAAACAGTCTCTTAAAGACATTGCAGTCCAATTCAAGTTCCAATTTAAAAAAAAAAAGAAGAATCCAACAAAAACCCACAAACAAAACCCATACAAACAGTGTCTGCATATACACACACTTAGATTTATGAGTTGTTCCTGACTTATAAAATACCTGGAAAGTTACGAACTGTAAAGTGTTTTTGACGAAATCTGTGTCGAAAGGGTTGATGAATGTGTTTTCTGGGTGGGGATTTGAAAAAGGACAGCCTTGTTCACAGCAGAGAGAAGAAGAGTGTGCATAAGAGGTGGCCTGAAAAAAGCACATAATTGAGAACAAAAAAAGACTTGGAAAGTTGAAGAAAAGGAATATAAGTGAACAGTGGAGCTTTATGGTGAAGAACAAACAGATGTGTTGGCATTTGGGGGTGCTTAGAGTAGCATTGAAGTCACCTTTGTTGTCTCCTACTCCTTTTGGTAGCTTCTGTTTAGTTCCTTTTCTCTGGACCTCTTTTGTTACCTCATACTAATGATTATTTAATTAGTAGAGTCAACCACTAATAGACCATTATTTCCTTCTTTTTTTTTTCTTTTTTTTATTTTTTATTGAAGGAATCTGACTCATTAGCTGGGGTTAATGCTAATGTCATGTTTAATTTAATATTATTCTCCCAGTCTAGTGATATTTAATTAAAAAACAAGTTGCAACTTCTTCAGCCTATCTATTAGCTGCAAGCTTGTCTCCATTTCTCTTTGGCTGGTCTCTAGAAATGGAGATTGGAGGATGATTTTGAAAGCTGTGTGGAATATTTCACTAAATGGAGATTGGAGGATGATTTTGAAAGCTATGTGGAGTAAAGACAATATTGTGATGTTTGTCATGAGGGGCAGACCTCGAATGAAATTTGTTTGTCAGTGTTTGTAGGGAAGACTCCTCCTGTGATCGGGGGGCTTCTAGTAATCTGAACCAGGAATGTTTTAGACACTGCTTTTTTTTATTTTGGAGGTCAAGTCTCTGTGCTTTATTAACGTTGTCCCACTAACTTCATTGAGAGCTATTATTCAGAACAGGAGAGGCGAAAAGTGGAGCCAAATAGTTCTGTTCACATCATTGAACAAACGTTTCAAGATATTTTACAACGCTGAGGAAGCTTGACAATATGTTCTGGTTCAGTAAAGCCTTTGCCTAACTTTAAAACATGTAAAATAGCCAAGGGAATGTAACTTTATGCTTAAAGACAGCTAGAAACTTGACAACTATCCTAATTGGGTATAAAGCAATGGGGATATGGTGTGGGGGAGAACTTTGTAGAGTAGGGTTGATAATTACAGAATCACAGAATCTTCTAGGTTGGAAGGGACCTTAAAGATCATCTTGTCCAACCGTCAACCTAACTTTGACAAAAAATAAACACCCACACAACAAACAAAAAGCATCACCATCACTAAACCATACCTCCCAGCACTACATCAACCCGTCTTTTGAACACCTCCAGGGATGGTGCCTCAACCACCTCCCTGGGCAGCCCATTCCAATGGCTGAGAACCCTTTCAGTGAAAAAAATTTTCCTAATATCCAGGAATTAAGTGCTAGATTATTTTTAGCAAAAAGTATACAAATAAAGTGCTACGTTTTATTTACAAAAGTTGCATATTAGCTAAAACAGTTTCAAACAGCTTCTGAGGTGTCCTTTGAAAAGTTCCTTTGATTTTTCCTTTGCCTTGGGTTTGATGGAGTATCACGGATATGTTCCTGTTTCATTTGGTGACTGGTTCCTGCAGTAAGAGAGAATTATTTCCTTTTTTAAAACTATTTCACACTTACTTCATCACAAACAAATTACCTTTTCCTTCGCCTGTTGATAGGAACCGTCAGTTGGAAGGCATCTTGGTGGTAGCACAGCAGTTCCATGAAGCTCTGGAGCCGCTGGTGGAGTGGCTGAGCGCCACAGAGAAGAGGCTGGCGAATGCAGAACCCATCGGAACGCAGGCCTCCAAACTGCAGCAGCAGATCTCTCAGCATAAAGTAAGATACAAACCACATGCTCGTGTCCTTCTTTTTAGATGCTTCTGTAAAGTACAATGCGACTGGCAAAGCTGTTGTGGTGTACCTATGATCTCGATAAGGACATAGGGTGTATCACCAGCAAGTTTGCAGATGACACCAAGTTAAGCAGGAGTGTTGACTCCCAGGAGGATAGGGAAGCCCTACAGAGGGACCTAGATAGAGGAGCTGGGACTGTTTAGTATGAGGAAGAGGAGCCTGAGGGGAGACCTCATCACTCTCTACAACTACTTGAAAGGACACTGTAGAGAGGTTGGTGCTGGTCTCTTCTCACAGGTAATTAACAATAGAACGAGAGGGAACGGCTTCAAGCTCCAACAGGGTAGGTTTAGATTGAACATTAGGAAGGAATTTTTCACAGAAAGAGTGGTCGGGCATTGGAACAGGCTGCCCAGGGAGGGGGTGGAGTCACCGTCCCTGGATGTGTTGAAGGGATGTTTAGATGCAGTGCTGAGGGACATGGTGTAGGGGAGGACTTTGTAGAGTAGGGGAGATGGTTGGACTCGATGATCCCAAGGGTCTCTTCCAACCTCAATGGTTCTATAATTCTATGTTTTACCATACTGATTTATTTTTTCCTGTAATTTGAGTTTTATATATTTATGTTGGCAATGTGTCCTTTTTTGTTCAGTTTTTATTGAGTTCCACTTACATTTCTTTTATGTTTTTCTGATTTTCTTTTATGTTTTTCTGATTTTCTTTTATGTTTTTCTGATTTTCTTTTATGTTTTTCTGATTTTCTTTTCCATTATTCATTGTTTTTAAAAAAAAATATAGGCCCTAGAAGATGATGTCCTAGCTCACAATAAAAGTTTACAGCAGGCCATTAGCACTGGTCAGTCTCTAAAGTCTCTGAGCTCCAGGGAAGATAAATATATGGTGCAGGAAAAGCTAGATTCTTCTCAGGCCCGATACATTGAGATTCAAGAGAAGAGCAGCAGCAGGTCTGAACTTCTCCAGCAAGCTTACAGCAATGCTCAGATTTTTGGGGAGGACGAAGTTGAATTGATGAACTGGCTGAACGAGATCCACGATAAACTGAGCAAATTGTCAGTCCAAGACTGCAACCCAGAATTGCTTGAGAAACAACGCTCTGAACTACTGGTATTTTGATTTCTGTTCATTTATTATTTAATTCATTTTTAAATTTTATTTACATTCCCATACTTCATTTATTTTTCATTTTTTTGTTTAAAATGGCAATATGCTTATTCCAAGTAAAAATAATAAAATTTGTTATGGCTGTGCTACCACAAATTGCCTTTTCTCTTAGGATCTTCAGGAAGAGATTCTTCTAAGAAAGCAAAACGTTGATTTGGCTATACAGAATGGCTTAGAGCTTCTCAAGCAAACAACAGGTGAGAGCTTTGCTTGTATTTGTAAGTGCTTATGAGGAAATTAAAGTGGAACTCGTAAATGTTAGTCTGTATTTGCTGGTTAAAGCAGTCGTAGCTGCTTATTTTAATAAAGCTTTGAGGTCAAGGTAGGTCGTGGTTTTGGGCCAATTTTACTCTTCACGTAAGCGAGCAAAAGTCCTTTTTTTGCCTGTAGAGAGTTTGGCCCTTGGATCCTTTATTATTTTTAGTGGAAAATAATTTCAGTGAAGCTGCATTCCATTCCTAATAGCAAGTTATGGCCATTACTGGTAATGGAGGGCTGTTTGGCAGTGGACGCGGTCAATTCCCCGCAGGCACCCGCAGAGGAACGAGATATTAAAGTACCTTTTAGTGCAAGAGGAAAGCTGCCTCCATTGGAGCTAGTGCTGGGGGAAAAGTTGCATTCCAGTTGTACACAACGTGTCTGTTGTGTAGATCAACATCTGTCCAGATTTTCCAGTAATTCTAAAGTTCTTGAACTCTTTAAGACACACATGTGGTTGGGGGCGGGGGGGTATCCTTTTCTGTTCCAAACTTAGATGTTATGTGTAGTCTGTAATGAAATCTAAATATACACTAATAATGTCAGTAGGTTGTTTTTATTTTAGCCTTTTGAGTTTTGTTTCAAACGGATAGTAATGAGGGTGTGCAGTGATGTCAAATATTGCTGTAATTGAAAATCTAGACCGTATTTTGTTGATTTTTTTTTTCCTTCACATTTTCAATGACCCTTTTATAATGCTTTTTTTTTTTACTTTTATAAGAAGTATTGTGAATTTAAGAGTGGATTTTTTTTAAAGAACATTTGTGTTAAATATTGGATCTAAGTCCTTTCTAATAGTTAAGTAAAGATGAAAAAAAGACAGAAAAACAGATCCTGAGCTGAGGTAAACTTTGTAGCTCTGTGGACTTCAGTGACAGTAGGATAATTTACAGCAGTCGAGGACTGACCTTCTCATCTTATTTGGGTTATTTTATAATTTAAGTACAGAGATTTCTGTAATAGGTGGGGGTTGGGATTTGGGTGGCTTTTTTGCTTTTAAATATTTGTGATCACAGGAAATAACATCCCTCTGATATTTTAGGTGATGAAGTTGTAATAATTCAAGATAAACTGGAAGGCATTAAAGCGAGATACAGAGACATTACGAAACTGAGTTCTGATGTATCCAAGACCTTAGAGCAGGCTCTGCAGCTTGCGGGTCAACTGCACTCAACTCACGAGGAGCTCTGCAAATGGCTTGATGAAGTGGAGGTGGAGTTAGAATCCTATGAAACTCAAATACCAAAGGGTGAAGAATTAAGCCAAGTGCAAGAAAGACAAAAAGTAAGTTTTCGAATCCGTGAAGTACTTATTGCTGTGTGATTCAGCTCGGTTTTGTGTTAACTTAAGTCTGGCTTGAAGCTGAATAACTAATTTTGGCATCAGATCGTGTGACTAAATGTAACAGTAGTTAAGAATCAAACTCACTTTCCAGAGTCATCTGTTATAATCACTAACAAAATTGGGCTGAGGTTTATTTTTAGCACAAGAGAAGCACAACATTTCCTTTTTATTCAAGCAGCTACCTAATCCTGGGAAAACTCTTTAAGTTGTCAAACAAAGTTATTTCGGTTCCTTAGTAGTGACATGGATAAAATCCTGTAAAGTATAAAAAGGGTCAGCATTTAAACCATGTATTACCAATGTTGTTTAACAATATTTATTTCAAAAGCAAAATTGGAGTATAAACTGGGTGGTGTGGACAATGTTGAAGGGGGAAGCTAAAAATAATATCTTTCCATTAACTTTCTTATATATGTAAAAAGAAATTAAACAGCGGTGAGGGTTTCTGTACAGATAAAACCTCAATCCTGTACCATTGTGTGATGATTTGATTGGAATTTAATCCAGTCACTGCTCATTGAAGAAATCACTTGAATTCATCATATTTTGCTTTATTGCCTGCCTGATGATTGCCTTGCTGATAATTAATTCCTTATGGAGTTGCAGGTTGCAAAGAATATCCATTTTTATTTTCTTCATGAAGTACTAACAAGTCTTATAAAATTATGAAGAATTTCAGACTGTCATACTGACTGGAGAAATACACTTAAGATGTATTCTCTAGAGAATTCTCTTCAAGAATCACCCACTTCTCTATCAAACAGCTTACAGTATCAAAAAGCTAATATAATTGAGCTGAAAATAAGCGTGCTTTGGTTTGTGTGGAAAATGTTTTCAGTTCTTGCCTCATGGACTGGTTGAAAGAATAAAAAAGTCATGCGTAAGCTGCGCGTGTTCAGCTGGTGTGCTCACACGTTTACTTTAAACAACCTTTTTCAGGAGCTGAAAAAAGAAGCAAAGAACAACAAAGGGTTGCTGGACACTGTGAATGAAGTTGGCAGTGCCTTCCTGGAGCTGGTGCCTTGGAGGGCCAGAGAGGGGCTTGACAAGATGCTAACGGAGGTCAACAAACGTTACAGACTAGTGAGCAACAGGATCTCTCAGAAGGTGGATGAGATTGATGCTGCCATCCTGAGATCCCAGCAGGTACTGGAAACTCTTCTTTGGGCAATAATAGTCTCTGGCCACGTGCACCTGAACAAAAGGTGTTCTCTAATAATGCTGCCAAAAGTTTGCTCTGCTTGAGCAGCAGAAGGTGTGTTTGAAGGAAGTGGCACTCTAGTGCTAAGGTATGAATACCAGAGCTCAGCTCATCTGTACGCTCATAGTTGTCTGCCTTTTCGTTGACACAAACATCAATCTTGTGGCTAAAATTGCTGAAACTATCCTGTGGCTCCTTAAGTGGGAGTTTGCCTGAGGAAGAACTGAATGGCCCGTGTCCTTTGTAGATCGTGTTAAGGAAAGTATGGTGCAGATCCCCAGCCAATTTTACTTGATGCAAGGCTGAAATCACGAGGGTTGCCACACCTTTTTAGCATCAGCTGATTGTCTAGCTCCTCTGTACTTTCCACAATTAAAAGCTGGATCATCTTGTTCAAGCTGTAGTGGAGGATTTAAATAACAATTGCTTTTATTCGTATCCACCACGCTTTTCTTCTTGGGGCTCAAAAATTTAGTTATTTAATATGTGGAGGTTTCTGTACAAGCACGGAGGTGTATATATATGGGTGCACTTTGAGAACTGGCACTTTAATTTTATCGCTAAATAGTCCCATATTTAAGCTTGCTCATAAATGTGTTGTGGAAACACAATTTTCCAGTGTCTGCCTACAGTTCAGGCATAAAAATATCGGTGGACGTTTCTGTTTCTGCTAATAGTTCCCATGTCTGCCTACAGTTCAGGCATAAAAATATCAGTAGATGTTTCTGCTAATAGTTCCCGTAAACAGTTGTAACAGCACAAGGAGAAAGCATGTGTGGTATTTTCAAAGTTTGCTGAAAGCCAACTAAAAGAGGCTGGTAGTAACTCAGATCTCCTTGTAACTGAGGTTAAAAATAACTTCATGTTTCTTGTTAAGGGATTTGCTCTGAATATTATCTTGTCTCGTTAACCAAATCCTCAAAGATGAAGGGTGGGTGGTTTTTTTTTTCCAGTGAGTGACAAGGTGAGTCAGGAGGGTATGTGTTGGCTCTCCTTCAGCTTTTCTGAATTCTGTGAGTGTGTTGCATCCCCCAGCACAAGTTCAGCAGGTTCAGGTCTGGGCATGGAAGGTCTGGAGCTGCTGCTCCAGTAGCTAATTTTGGGAGGGCACCTTGCACCTTAGTCCTGCAAACCCCTAATCTCCACTTCAGCCCAATTCACGTCACCGCGATACACTGCTACACACTAGATCCTATGACAAATATCAAGTGGCTTGATGAGCTTCCAGTGAAGGATAAACTACTTTCCGTTGAGCTCACAGAGAAACCATGCAAAATAAAAAATATTTTTGGAGAAGCTGGTGCTCTGTGAACTCACCCTGTGGTGACTCGTTCAAGTGGCTGTGCTATTAAAAAGTTTTGGGTGGGGGACACAGCCCCTCAGAACGTGAGGGTTCAGTGGGAGCAGGGGGGGGTTTGTGCAAGATGTTGATGGGCCAAGGTGAGAAATGCAGTAAGCTGTATGTTTCCTGGTATGAATAGAAGCTGAAAGGCTTAATAGACTAATGCAGTGTCCTGTTTTTTAACTACCTGGCCAAAATGCTCCCAGATAGCTAAATTTATCTCTAGGATAATTCTATCTATGTGTTTTAATCTTCATTTCTCAATACTGAATGCATTGGTCAGTGCCTTACTCCAGTGAAGGAGTGCTACGTAGAAACAGAAGGTCATACTCTACTTTTGGCTTACTTGTTCTTCTCTCTAAAGCAGCCACAGAGCGTGCTTTAGAAAGCTTTCATGGACTAAGTCACAATGCCATCATATTCAGAAGTCAATCATTCCTGGTTAGAAGAAAAAGTACCACAATGAACTCTGTTTGGTTAAACCGGGTGGGGATGAAATAGCTGATTTTATAGTGACTCAAATGAAGTTCAGGGCTCATAAATAACTGGCATGCATAATGGGAAGGAAACACTTCAAATTTTGGATGCAGAGAGTACCAATTTTGTGCTTTTTATTCCTTAATGTTACATTTGAACATCACAAATTGGAAATCCTATACCCTCAGCAAATGGCGTTTGGATTCCTCGTCCTCAATCGATGCTATTTAACCTAGAAGTTTCACTGCCATGCCTTGATTTTGTTATTTCCATTAAATATTTGCTCGATATTATTTTCAATAACCATGGATATTTAGTATCAGCAAGTCACATGGCAGTTAATGTGTACATCTAACACATTTGAAATCACCTTCTTCATTTCCTTCATTTGGATCATAAATTGGTGGGCTTCTGAAGAGCTTGCTTGTGAGCTGTAGTTTCTGAAGCCAGGATTAAAGTACCGTTGGTACATGTGCTTAGTTTTAATGTTTATAGTATTGATTCTTTTGGAACACACCTTTCTGTTAGGAAGTCACAATATTTAGGACAAAACTTACTTTCTGTTACCTTTATGAGAAATGACATACAGCGAAAAAGAATGTTCGTGCTTGTCTTTCATGTAACAAATGGATTATAAAGGCTGAAAAAGATTGACTCGTAAAGAATGAAATTTCAGAAGTGCTTCTTTTGTTTTTGTGTGACTCATGATCACCCACTAAGGCGAGGCTGATTTAGTGACTGAAGTGAAGTGCAGGTACGTTACAGGAGCAGGGCTGCCGTGGTCTAGAGCCACAAAGGCCCAGACCAGCAGATTTAAAAGGCGAGGGACAGAGGGTGGTCAGAAAGAGACTTCTGAGGAAAGTGAGGGTCTCAACAACAAAAGTAGCAGGTTCTAACCTAAAACATCCTGACCGACTTTCACAGGAACTGAGCACCATGTTCTTCACGTTCAATTAATTGCAGCGGGGGCCAGAGTTTAAAAGAAATAAATAAAATAAGTTCTTAGTGGTTTCTACGATGACTCTTTTGCTCATCTGGTCATCCCATGTGATATTTCTGTATGGCCTAAGCTCAAAGCTGCCCCTGTTGAGTACTGCAGGGCCTGTGTGCTGAGGTACATGCCTATAAACTTGAGCTGAAGAGAGAATGTGGGATTTTGGTTTTTAAATTTGGTCTTACTTTTCAGAAGAGTTAGGTCCCCGTGTATTTCTTTGCAGGATCTCGTGCCCTCCTTCGCAAATCAGTAAGAAACAGATCCTTCAAATCCTCTCGTTACTTAAGTGCTTTGAGGCAATTTCTGAAAGATTTAAGTGGTGACTAATGGTAGTCAAAACTTAATCTTTTAGGAAAAGGACTGGCTGCACCCAAATGCCCCAAAGAATTTTTGCGTTTAATCCAAGGTCTAGTTTTGGATTAAATCCTGTCCTCTCTGAATTTAATGAGGTTTTTCACCGAGTTAGTTGTATTGTGATTGCTTTGTCTTTGTCATTTAATACCAAAGCAGCTCTTAAGATTAAAAGGATAACATCAAACAACTATTTCTTAGGGTAATTGCAGCACTAGCAGTAGTAATTAACGTAGACACGGAAAAGACACGTGAAAGTAGAGTAAAATAAAAATAAACAGTCTAGTGAAAATTCTGAAATTATAACCCTTCTTATTTTCTTATGCCTGTTAGAGAGCTGTAGGCTTTGGAAAAAAACATTTGCTTGTGTTACTTTGTCATGCTTATGAGTTAACCTGCTTGTATTACAGTCCCTCAGAATCACGTTGGGCTTTGTATTTCATTTCTATAAAAACCTCATATGGAAAGTGAGCCGCTATCTTTCTAACAATTCAAAAGTATCCTTTTTAATCACCTTCAACATTTTTGAAATGGTCATTCTAATTCCATGTCTATGGAACCGCTGAACTAATTCATGTCTCCCTCATTTAGTTTGATCAAGCAGCTGATGCTGAATTTGCCTGGATTGCAGAAACAGAGAAGCAACTGATGTCTCTGGGTGATATTATGCTTGAGCAAGACCAGACCACGGCTCAGCTACAAGTTCAAAAGGTAAAAGAAATGCATTTCCAACTGTCATGTTAATTATTGGCCGGCACACTCTCCATCTAGAAAATGTACTGGCATGATTTAATTTTCAGTCCATCATAATGCACTTCAAAAATAGTTTTTACTCTATGTAGTCTTTTTTTTTTTCTTTTTTTTTTTCCCCCCCTGACCAATTTGTATTGTTTTTAAAGGCTTTTACCATGGAGATTTTGAGGCACAAAGATACTATAGATGAACTTGTTAAGTCGGGGGATAAGATTATGACCACATGCACCGAAGAAGAGAAACAGACCATAAAGGTAAAGTTCCTTAAATTGCAGCTACAGCAGTAGATACGCAGACAGTATATAAGTAGAAGGATTCCTATGGTGTCTGTTGTGAAATAGTAATGAAAAAGCATTAATTACAGCCACTTGTAGTCTGAGCATTGCAATACTGGAAGAAATGCTGTTGTGTATCACTCTCCTTCCTTCAGGATGTTCAAAGAGCAAACACTGTGTACTTGCTTCATTGCCTGATACTAATTTGGAGCCCCATTTATCATCTTCATCCATGGTAAATAGTATTTTAGCCACTGGACCATTAAGTGAATAGGTATTAGTCATCTGGGATGGTGTGTGTGGAATCTGGCTGTTTGTCTTGCCCAGTTCTCTTGGGTCAGTGAAGCTCTGGGTGGGTGTGTTTCTGTGCTGGATTTTAGTGGCTGTGCACCTTTACTTTCATTTCTGCTGCTTTCAGTGTGGACCTTACTTGACAGGGTTATTCCAGCTGTTGACAAACAGATGTCATTCTTATGCCTTTATCTGTTACTTCTGTGCTGGATTTTAGTGGCTGTGCACCTCAGCGTGAATCTTTACTTTCATTTCTGCTGATTTCAGTGTGGACCTTACCTGACGGGGTTATTCCAGCTGTTGACAAACAAACACAGCCCACAAAAGGCATTCTTATGCCTTTATCTGTTATGCACATACAGAGCCTGATGTTTGGGCTCTATATATGTACAAACAGATTTTTCCTGTTGGCGTTTAAGGATGGATTACTTGTGGGGTTGGTGTTTTTTTGCTAAATAAGGCTGGATTTTTTGTGTAAATTCAGTCCTTTCAGGGACCACCCTCCTTGAACAATACTTCACTAATTATGCTCTGCTGCAGGATCGGTGAATAAATTTGATTTGCTCTTAATTTAAAATAGATGAGATGTTCTGTCTGTGAAACCGTAGTCATAAGGGAGAGCAGTTGCATGTGAGTCTCTATTAAATACTTGTATTTGTCAAAAATACTGCGTATCTGTGTGTTAGGCTCTGGTTTGTCCTTTGGATAGCATCTCTGTCCTTAATTTATATGCAAGACATAACAAATGAAAGGAGAGCTTGTTCTGCCAAAAAAGATTCTTCACTTCACATTCAATGGCTTGCCTATATGTCTAGTTTTTCCAAGGCTAGCATTTATGTGCATTGTCACATGTAATATTTCATAAAAATGATAACTTGGGCAGGCTTCCACAGGAAAAATGTACAGTTAGCTGATACTTTATTTTATTATCACATACCCGAATGCAGTAGATTTGTAACATTTAAAACTTGTCCTTCTATCATTTTATTAATGGTAACACATCCTTAGTAATTAATGGGTGCTAACCCGGAAAATAATGGTTTGTGGTTTCTATTGCAAGTTTGTAAGCTACAAGCACATCAGTATACCCTCTTCCCTTGCCAGATTTAAAAAAAACCACCACCACCAACAGATTTTCATGTGTTACTCATGGTGCTTTGATTCAGAAACGCTGTGGAAAGCTCAGTATCTCTGAAGATAAGCATCTTCAGTAAGGAAGTGGGGTGAGATCTGCAGTCAAATAATCTGCAGCTTGACTGGAAGCCCTACAAAGAAAGTGTTATTTGTAAATATCGATATCATCGAATATGTTTTAATTACTTTGAAAGTAATCTCCCAAATTTTGATCTCCTGCAATATTCATTCTGTCCACCTTGAACACCCATCCTTTAGAAACTTTATCAAAACTAAAATTTGGGTCACTGTGGTTTGGTGCTATAATTATCAAAGATTGTTTAGAAATAGATTATTATAAATAGATAAAATTAAAATTGTTAGGTAATAGACAAGTGCGAAACATACATTACTATTTTTTGTTAATATTATTTTACAGAAAAAAATGAAAAGCCTCTTACAGAAATATGATGCAGTCTGTCAGATGAACTCTGAGAGATACCTCCAGCTGGAACGGGCTCAGTCCCTGGTTAACCAGTTCTGGGAGACTTACGAAGAGCTGTGGCCATGGTTAACTGAAACAGAAATGATCATCTCGCAGCTTCCTGCGCCAGCCCTTGAATATGAAACTTTGAAGCAACAACAGGAAGAGCACAGGGTAAGCATTTTGCCAGTTTTAAAAAAACAAAGTGTCAAAAGCAAGTAGTGTTCTGCCTGGAACGGTGGAGTACTTTGCTGAATGCTGAAAACACAGACTTAACAGTTCTGTTGAAAAAAAGAATGATTTAAAATAATACAAAATAAATCCATTTGCAGTCGTTCCTCTGCTGTTTTCCAAGCTCTGCATGCAACCAAGATTCTCTGGGGAAGGTATCAAACAACCTATAAACATAAAAGAGGGCTATAGAGGAAAAAATGCCAATGCAGTGAGCGAACGGAGCACACAAAAGTTAATAGTTAAGAAGTATATTTAAAAATACACATTAATGTCAGTATCAGAACAAACCAAACCCATAAACAGAAAGAACAGACCTGGGATCTTGTAGTAAGAAACGAAAGAAGGTAAAACATGATTAAAAAATTCAGCTTTGCTGAATTTGTTTGTTTTGTTGTTATCATTGGAAGTAAACTTAGCTGAGCCAGAAAGATGGACAATTAAGAGGGCCAAGAATTGATTGCTTGGGTTCCAGCCAATCCCATAATCTCTTTTCATGTCAAGTATGTTTGTTATGTAATAATTAAAAGAAATAATTGTTTACCGTAACATCACAAAATAGAGGCAAGAGTATTGTAGGCTGGCCACCATATGGCCTTTCTTACAAGGAGGAATAATCAGCTGGAATAAAAACTGGTGTGTTTCAGATGTGAGTACTACTGGGATCAGCTGAATCCCACCGAGGTTAAAAGCCTGCACGTTTTGGCACATCCCAAACCCATATGGCTACTGGCCATACCTGTCTCTTCCTACTGAGCCTACAGTAACTAGGCTTTTTTTTGTTTTAGCTGCATCAATTAAGTGACTGAAGTTAGATAGGATGAACCCTGGCTTCAAAGTCTTGTTTATTCTGAGACCAGTTAATGAAGATATGCCACTCTTATGCACTGGTAAACACTGGGTTCGCTCGTTTTGTCTTCCTATTATGTCCACAAAGAACAAACATGCTCTATTAAGAGTAGCTATATAACATGAGCTTTACAAACTCTCTTGATTAGTCACCGTGAACCAAATCATGCTTGTCTTACTTACAGGATTGTTCCCCATCTACTTTAATCATTCCGCTTGCATGAGAGGCCCTTTAGATGAGCTTCTATTTTTGCATTTTCCCTGGGCTATGCCATTAGCTGAGATTTGTTTGTTAAGTAGAAGATTAATGTCAGGCAATTTTAACACGTAATCTGATCTGGAATACATGTTTACTGGAATTGTTTACCCAATAGTAGATCATGGAGAAGATCAAATAATTTGTTGTTCTATTAAAAAAAAAAAAAGGAAAAAAGGTTATGAATGTGAATTAAAACCCCTTTTCTATATTGACTTACATTTCTGTTCTGATGTATTTACTGTTGACTGTCTTTGTTCCAAGTCGTGGAATTCATAGAGTTGATTCCATTTGGCTTGAACTGAGCTGTGGGCAGAGCACTAGGATAAGGTTTGGACCCAGAAAGGTGAAATCTTGTGACCTGATGTCAAATCATCTGTTTGTGAGCAAAAATGAAACGCACAACATTATGTTGTAAAAACTTTCAAACTGTTCTTCATTTCACTTTTTCCTCTTCTCTGCTAATCAATGTTTTTGTCTTGTTGCAAGTTGTACGAAGAGTCACATTCTCAGTGAGAGCTGGAGTCTGGGGTTTTTGTATTTTCATTGCTGTTTTATCATCAGGGGCCTGTAGAGTCATGGTCATTGTCTTTTCAATCTTCTCAACCTCTCCTCTTCTGGGGAGGAGCGAGTGAGCAAGCCAGTATTGGGATTTCTTTTTAAGGGAAGGACCTTAGTTGAAGAGGAGAGGGTTTATTTACACTGAGACTGATACGGGCCCATTTCTGTGTCTCCTTTAATTTAAACAAGCTGTGAGCTGAGTGGAGCAGAGCATGTGCCTCTCATGTTCCTGCACAGGGGCTATAGGGTAGAAACGCCTGGAGTTCACAGCACCAGGAGGGGCAGTGCCTCACCAGACAGTGGGATTTTTCTGAAAAAGGGGGAATGAGCTGAGAAAATAAATAAAACTGGAGGGAAGGATCGGGCTGCTCCCACAAAAAAAATCCTTTCCCTTTTGTCGGGTCTATGGGTGTAAGTAAACAAAACCAAAATCCTTTGGCAAGTTGGAGGACAGCTTGTGACCTTGCACTTCTACAGTCTTCTGCACAATTCTTACTTATTTAGGGGGTAGATGATGAGAGGGGGTAGACAGCTAAGTTCAGATTTAACTTACTTATTAATTACTTGTTAAGCTTTGTGTCAGGTAAGTAATAGTGCTGTTGTGAAGACAAGAGGGGTCTTGTAGCCAGAGAGGAGCCTGGTAAAGTAGGTTGATAGATCTCTACTAATCAGTCTTCCTTGTCCTTTTCACTGATTTCTTTGACTTCCTGTGCTACTTCCCTCTTCTTAAAGCAAGGATAATTTGAATTAATATTCTTGCTGTACCAGTACCTCTTTCTGTGATGTTCTTCAATGGAAGGGTTTGCGGCAAGTGACAAACACCAACATGAAAAGTATATACATGGTGGTGTTATGCACATGGCTGGAATATTGTTGTAATTTCTGTCATTATAAGTACTAAATATTGGGGAGTGTCTGTTGCCAGCATCATATACATAGTTAGCATCTTGTATTTTACCTGTAATCAGGTGTCCTCCAAGAGTATTGCACGGACCTTTCCAGTAGGTCTCTAATTGTGCTGTTTCATGTCTGGATAGCCCTCTGTTGGAATGGGAGCCATCACTGGCAGAGCAAACCCGGACTTTATTTGATATTGTTTGTGCTTTACATAAGGATGAAGGGTATTTGTTTGGAATGTCTTGCCAGCTGGATGTGTTAGAAGTGTGGACAGCTGTAATGTGGTGTGGTGCAAGCCTAAGAAACTGATAAGCTGTTTCATTTGTTATAGCAACTGCGTGAGCTGATCGCTGAGCACAAGCCTCATATAGATAAGATGAACAAAACCGGGCCTCAATTGCTGGAGCTGAGCCCAGGAGAAGGTTTTTCTATCCAAGAGAAATACGTGGCAGCTGACACCCTTTACAGTAAAATCAAGGAAGATGTCAAAAAGCGAGCACTGGCACTGGATGACGCCATTTCTCAGTGTACCCAGGTATCAATTTAAGTTTAAAGTCTAATTGGATTCATTCAAATGGGAAGATGCACAGACATTGTCATCTGACATGTATATATCAAGACTAAAATTCTGGTTTATCTGTACTTTTCAACCTAATGGCCTGTGAATGTTCCTATCACTGCTTATGGCCTTGATCTTTCTATTTCTTGAGGGGTTATAATTTTATATATTGGTATTAAGACTGCTGCAGTTGAAAAAGGTTATTGCTTCTAAATTTTGAAGTAAAAAAAGGAACATTTGGTCTAAAAATGTGGGATTTTTTTTTTCCACTTTATTCCATTTTCTCTTGCTGGTCTATTACTAGCTGATGCTTCCTTTGTGTAAAAAAGGAACATTTGGTCTAAAAATGTGGGTTTTTTTTTTCCACTTTATTCCGTTTCCTCTTGCTGGTCTGTTACCAACTGATGCTTCCTTTGTACATGGGTGTCAATGTTCATCAGTTAACTTGAGTATAGTCATATTTTGAACTTGGCAGCTTTAGTTACAGTCCATTACCAAGGGAAGGTAGTAGCTTGGCAGTGGTAACAGCATTTGGTCTTCATTGCAGACCCACAAGAACTTAACGTAATACGTGCTTGAACTGTTACGTAAAAGTATTGAGAGCAAAAGTAGACCTCACAAAATGTTATCATAAGCATAAAATTCAGATCAAGTCCATAAAAGCTGTGCATCTTGGATTCATCAGCCTACACAATGAGCCTTGACAGAGTATTGTTAGGTATCACATTTTGGAGACTTCTAAACGCTGAGTTAATTGTCATTAAACCCAAGCTGAAACTATTCTACTCAACCCCAAATTCAGAAAAGAACCCAGTAAAACTGTACGTGAGCCTATACAAAAACCTGAATAAAAATATTTTGTTCTATACTGCTCCTTTCATAGGAAATTATCCCTTTTCTCAGTTCGCTGGAAATTAAGTGCTATATTCTGCTCAGGTCTAAAGTACTTAATAAAGAAATACACCTTAAAGTTCTCATCAGGTCTACATTCTAAAGAACTTTTTGTCATAGGTCATTGTTCTTCATGTCGTATTCCCCTGCAGACTGAGTTTAAGAAGCTAAGGAAAAAAAGCGACATATTAGCCTGCTCTTTAACTTTTTATAGACATTATATTATAATTTAAGTAATTCTAAAAATTTTCTTTATTCACACCTCTGAAAGATGCCTTGTTATTTAGATTCAGTGTTTTAGTTTATCATAAATGCTCACGTACATTTGAAAATTAAGATACTTACTTAGCATTCGAGTCCCTGCTTTGTATGTCATGGACATTAAGATGCTGTACTGGCTAAGTACAGAAAGCAAGAATAAAAGTGCATGTTTTGGTAACAGCTAGAGTATAATCAGATGCTGAGAAAATGCTTGATTATTTATGCAATACTTTAAGGTTCATTTCCTTTATGTAAATGTATATGGAGATGGCAAAGCAAAACATTGTAACGCCCAGAATGTAATTTGGTATAATCTCCTTTTTTTATTAAGATACATATATATTATTATGGCTTTGTACTATGATGGTTTATGTCAGTGTTTGTCTAGACATTCCAGGAAGAATAACTATTTAACTCTTCAGGTTTTAAATTACATTAAATTGCGTTATGTATCAAAGGCAGCACATAACCTATGGAGTCAGAGTGAGAGGTTGTAATGACTTGCATTTTCTTCCTTTTAAGTTCTAAAACACCTTGTCTCATTCATTGAGGTGCAAGTACAAGGAGGCCCACTGAATACACTCACAATTCTAAAATGTAATATACAAGTCCTAAAATTAGACTTATTTAATTTAATGTAATATACAAGTCCTAAAATTAGACTTGAATATTGCCAATTTAATTTCCATTTTTAGCACTTCTGTAAGGTTTTGTTGCCGCAATCAGTTTTTCAGAAGTCTTGAATGTGGGAAGGCTACTTATCTTCTGTACCACATTTTGCTGCCTTGTGTGATATTCGCACTTCTAACAAAAACACCGTGTCCGTAACATTAGTCACAGAGTCTGATTTGAAGTGGGTTGGATGGTGGGAAAAAGTAATTGCATTTGTATTGCTTATATTCCTTTGAATAGAAAGGATGTAGCTATTTGTTCACCTAAGGGAATCTGATTTTGCTGTGCTCTTTCTAGCACCTTGCCCAAGTGTAGTCAGGAGTGGCTTTTGTGGATCCTGGAGGATTGTTAAATGCACCCACAATTTACTAATTCCTGTAACTTGAAAGGGGTACGGTGGTGAGATGTTTTTAGGAGTCTCAATGGATCCAAAATCATATAGTAAAGGCTATCTTTGGACCTGTGCCAAACACTGAACTATGTTAACACAGCTCTAATTGAGTTTCTGGGCACCTACCTGGGCTCGGTCAGTCATGGGTGGACTTAATACACACTATTGGGTGCTTATTGGGTGGGACAAAACGAATGTCTTTTTGAATGACCTTACATATCAAATCTTAATCGGTGGTTATATGCCAGTAGGTTGGTCCTGATATGAAAAAGTAGGTATTTAATACTAAGGTAAACAGCTTTCTAAAATGATGAAATTAGAAAGTCATGGGTCTCCAAAATAAAGTACAAACCTACTGTATGAATTACAGAGGACTAAATGCAAGTAGATTCTTCTGTATGTTATAGTAGCTTCAGATGTTATGTCTCAGCACTGAACCCAGATTTCGTAGTAAAATTCTTAAATCTGAGATGAAGTACCATTTTGCAAGGTCATTTTTGTAATTTAGTTATTAAGAGGGGAAGAGCCATGAAGAGTGATCTTGCAAGTTGCACAGGTGTATGTTGGTTAGAGATGTTAAATATGTTAAAGTGCCTTTTTCCAAGAGAACTTCAGATGCCGTTTTTCAGTTGTGTTTTTGTTTTCTAATTTCTCTGCCACTTCTTTTTGTCCTTTTATTACCCTCCCAGTTTCACGACAAGATAGATTCAACTCTTGAGATTCTGAAACGCATAGTTGAACACCTGAGGCAGCCACCTTCAATCTCAGCAGAGGTTGAGAAGATTAAAGAGCAAATCAGTGAAAATAAGAATGTGTCAGTGGATCTGGAAAAACTTCAGCCGGTGTACGAGACGCTTAAACAGAGAGGGGAGGAAATGATTGCTCGCTCAGAAGGAGCTGATAAGGATATATCTGCTAAAGGTAATAGATTGAGGAAAGTTTTGTGTAAGTGGAAATGCAGCAAGCTGCAGCATATAAAGCTCTTCATTTCTGATGACTGCTAGTCTGGGGATTGTGTTCTCCTGGAGAAGGTGCTGAGGATTTATAAAAGCAAAGTATTTGTTTAAAATAATTCATCGTGGATATGACCTTTGTTTTATTTTTAAAGGTTATGTTGGTTGTTTCCACTTAACGTTATAAGGAGTCCTGTAAAGAAACACTTTGAGTCTAAATTTTAAAACATACACATGTGTTTCTGCTGTAGAACTGTAGAGAGATTTATGGCCAAGAATTGTTTGCCAAGGTAGTAATCTAGTTCCTCTGTTGTTTAGCTGTTCAAGATAAACTGGACCAAATGGTCCTCATTTGGAAAGACATCCAGACCTTGACTGAGAAGAGGGAGGCCGAGTTGTTGGATGTAATGGAACTAGCTGCAAAGTTTTGGTACGATCACGCGGCTCTTGTGGCTACTATTAAATATATTCAGGACCTCATTGGACAACTGGAGGGACCTGGAATTGACCCGTCTGTAGTCAAGCAACAGCAAGAAGCTGCTGAGGTCAGTAGAAAGTATTTTGTTGACTTAAAGCATTTCATTTAAAAGATGCAGTGAAAAGACAGAATTACAATGAAATATCACAGGAGGATATGTTTAGACCGGGAGGGATAATTGTATAAAAATTTACTATAATGATATCTCAAGAGTCAGTTCTTAATTGCAATGAGCATGCAACATGTGCCTGTCATTATATTTACATATCTGCTTATGAACATGTATATAATAAGCATGTCACTGAGACTTTTAAAAAGTTATACATACTTTAGATTCCCTGAGTACTACGTAACATCTAAATGAAAGGTGTACGCGTGTATCATGCTCTGTGTGTTATGCTCTAAGCCTGTAATTATTTATGCTGATAGTTAGAGATTTGAAGGTTGAATGATAACCTCTGAAAAAGAAAACACTCTGATTAAAGAAATCTAATTTAAAACTTCCTGTTTATTTTTTTCCATCTCATGCAAAATGCCATCGTAAGCCATTGTTATAATTTAGACTGATGTCAATTGATTTCACCTGGCACTGCAAAGGGATACTTATATTTTAAGCATCCAGTTGTAAGTCCAAGTGACTTTAAAGGCACCAAAGGTCAACTCCTGCCATGTCCTATCTTGAAAACAAGCTGTACATAGATTATTAAATTTAGTATTAGCAGCATTGGATTTTTTTTTCTCTTTGTAGACTGTGAAAGAAGAAATTGATGGATTACAAGAGGAACTAGAAACTGTTCTGAACCTTGGCTTTGAACTCAGAGGTGCTTGTGGAGAACCTGACAAACCTCTTGTCAACAAGAGTATAGATGAGGTACGGGAAATGCAGATGCTTAGATCTCTTCTGTTAGATGCTTGTTCAGCTAAAATTGATATATCCTCCCTGCCCCCAACAAATTTTGAAAATAGAAATTTTGTGGCAATTGTAAGATACCCGTGAAGCTTTTGTGATGAAGTAAGGTTTGCGTTTCAAGTAAATGAATCTTGACTCAGATTAGATTAGCATGTAGAGACAATTTTATTTTATTGATTTATGGGTTAAAAGTTTTGTAAAAGACAGAAAGTTGGGGTTTTTTTTTAAAAAACACTCACTGATTAATACAATAGATGGCTACTTTTTGCAACAGTAATGCTAGGATAAATTTCAGATATATCTAGTTTATGCCAAGTGTGACATCTTAGCTTTATTGATTTATGGGTTAAAAGTTTTGTAAAGACAGAAAGTTGGGTTTTTTTAAAAAAACACTGATTAATACAATAGTTGGCTACTTTTTGCAACAGTAATGCTAGGGTAAATTTCAGATATATCTGGTTTATGCCAAGCGAGACAATCCTGATTGGATGACTACAGAGTACTTTTAGTTTCTCCGGTGTTCAGCAATGTATGTTTCTTTTAAGCAACCTTTTTTATAATCATAGAATCACTGAATCACAAAATCTTCATGGTTGGAATCATTCAAGTTGGAAAAGACTCTTGGGATCATTGAGTCGAAATGATTTAATAATAGTATTTCCCATATTAACTATAATCCACATGTTAATCAAAATATTCAATAATGAGGATTGAAGTTTACAGCTTTTGGAATCCAGAACCTCTAGTGTGTTCTGAAGGAAGTAAGGTTTGCGTTTCAAGTAAATGAATCTTGACTCAGATTAGATTAGCATGTAGAGACAATTTTATTTTATTGATTTATGGGTTAAAAGTTTTGTAAAAGACAGAAAGTTGGGGTTTTTTTTTAAAAAACACTCACTGATTAATACAATAGATGGCTACTTTTTGCAACAGTAATGCTAGGATAAATTTCAGATATATCTAGTTTATGCCAAGTGTGACATCTTAGCTGAGACAATCCTGATTGGATGACTACAGAGTACTTTTAATTTCTCCAGTGTTCAGCAATGTATGTTTCTTTTAAGCAACCTTTTTTATAATCATAGAATCACTGAATCACAAAATCTTCATGGTTGGAATCATTCAAGTTGGAAAAGACTCTTGGGATCATTGAGTCGAAATGATTTAATAATAGTATTTCCCATATTAACTATAATCCACATGTTAATCAAAATACTCAATAATGAGGATTGAAGTTTACAGCTTTTGGAATCCAGAACCTCTAGTGTGTTCTGAAGGACAGTAACTATGCAGTGATAAGGAGAACAAGAGTGTTAATATGGAATGCATATGAACTATTCATGCTTAGTTTATTGATGCTATTGATCAGTGAACAATTAGTGAATGCACATTATAAGGCAGTAAAATTTTTCTGTCCATTGGAGTAAATTGCACTTATTTCCAGCTGAATTCTGCCTGGGATGCCTTGAACAAAACATGGAAAGAACGGGTAGATAAGCTTATTGAAGCCATGCAGGCAGCTGTTCAGTACCAGGATGGACTGCAGGTAAGATGGTGTGATACTCCTAACCCAGTCTTGAGTCAGTAGGATTTAATGTGGTTGTAGTAAAAAAATGTCCTGTGATTGGGAAGGTGACAAGTGTCACTGATTATAGCAACTATTTCCTTCAGTAGGCAGATATTTTTTCTCAGGGTTGGTTGGGTTGGAGGTTTTATTTCCATTAAAGAATAAATCTATTTGGGTTGTTTTCTTCATGTATGTTGTTCTGTGTTTAGATTTGAAATGATTGTGGTTATGTTTATTGATAAGAGCAGAGGGGGTTTGATACCACACAAATCCATAGTACTCCTGCTCACTTTTTGGGGTGATAGTACTTCACACGACAGGTGCATTGAAGTTGTGACATGTTTATGTGACCTGAAAGGAGCAGAATACAGATCCATAGACTCAACTTCCTGCTGTTTGCTTTGAGTGGAGGACAGGGAAAGAGCTTCAGTTGTATTCCACCTCTTTTTCTAAGTCAAATATTTGAGTATTTTAATCAAAGACCACTAACATAATGTTACTGGACCATTACACTAATTCTTCACACAATTATACTAAGAATATATATACTGGACTGTTATTCTAATCCTTAGTATGATTTATCCAATCACAGTACTTCAGAAGATGATTCATTTTTAAAATCTATAGGTAAATTTTCCAGCAGTTTTTTTAAGATAACTTTTTTCTATATGTGCTGTATTACTAATTTTTTTTTTTTGCATATTCTTTAAAAGTTTTGGCTGAGTGACAGGCCTTGTGGCTTTTGTCCGTGAATGGCTAGAAGATTGAAACATTTGAAAAGTTTTGATGGACAGATTTTGCAAAACTATCTTTTTACTCAGTGGAATTATGGTCTTTTTTGGTTCAATAAATCTTTTAAAATAGAGTTTCACGTGACACTGAGGGTGGTTGCCTGTGTGTTCAGTGCAGATCAAGCAGCAGAACACACCTTAATAATAATAATGCGACGACTTGTTCTCCAGTGCACCTTCACTATGTGTTTTTCTCCAAGTTCTCTTATTTTCATCCTGCTCAGAGGTCCACCTGTAGGGTTACATGAGGAACATTGCCATGGGTTTAAGTGCTTTGTGTTTCCTGTGGCTGTACATTGTACATCCTACAGGCTGGGTGCTTTGTAAAAGAACTGTATTTAAATGCCTTCTTACCCTCATTTCAATAGACAATATGAAAAGTCTCATGGGCAGATTGTTAGCTGCAGCTGCCTCGTCCTGTTGAGCTTGTTGGGGGGGTAGTTCTCTTTTTCTCAAGGAGCCTTTCTCTGTAATGAATCACAGGTAACAGGCAGGAGGAAAAAGGCCTCACAGAGGTATTTTTCCCCTTATGTAATTACCCCAATTGATATAGGTGTTCTCAGTCTTTAAGTGGAGTATTCTTGAGATCGTTCTGCATTGTATCAGGAGCAAAAGAAGTGCATACCCACAGAGCCTCAGAACTGGGGAAATTTCATTTGTTTTTTTTCCAAGTTGCAGCTGCATTACCCTAAGGAGATTCAACCAAGCTCAGTTATTGCCCATCACTATCTAATAATGTACTGAATGGGTCGTGTTCCATATTCCTTACATAGATAACATTATCCTTCAAAAGAAGGTTTTTTTTGTAGTCATCATTTAAAGCGTGTTATTCAGCTACTGCCTTCCATCTTTGGTCCAAAGGGCTACAGAACGGAGCTTGTCTTGTATTTACCTTTCAGGGTATTCATAAAAATTGCTGATTTTACTCAAGTAGAGTAAAAGTAGTCAGCATGAGTAGTACTGGCAGAATATTACTGCTGATAGAAGTTCAGTCTTGCAGCATGTACATTCTCATAACCATTACATGGAATATTTTAGTTAATACTTCATCCCTTGTATTGCAAAAAAACCCTAGGTTCCACTGAAGAAAGCTGTTTTATTTCAAAAAGCACAGCGATATTGTTCTCTGGAGTAAAAAAAAAAAATCTGGCATTTTACTTAATGCAACTTGGAAATATGACACTATTTCTCTGCTCACGTTTCAATTTCATGCTGTGATATTCAGGCAATATTTGACTGGGTAGACATTGCTGGCATCAAGTTGGCATCTATGTCCCCCGTTGGAACAGATCTGGAGACAGTGAAGCAGCAAACTGAGGAACTTAAGGTATGAACTAGCAATTTATTTCATTTATATTTTCATCTGTCTGCATTTTTCTGTGTTGTTTAGTATTTTTGTGTATTTTTCAAGAGTCAAAAGCAATTTTCAATTTCTAGTCAAAAAGAATCTATAGGAAAAATTCAGATAACATTTCTTTGCAAACTTTTCACTTTAAAATCTATTCCAAATTTTAGTGAGACTACATTTTATTTTGTGAAGGTGTTCTGATAGCCAAGAAATAACTTGTAATAGCATTCCTTCTCTTTCAAAGGCTGTGAGGTTGTTATGTAAAGGGTTCTTTTGCTGTGACTTTCACGTGTTCTGGTTCCTGCCGTGAACAGCTTCCTTGAGGCTCTGAAAGATGTGCCTCCAGAGCTTCACTTCTGCAATTATAGGCTTTATCTAAATGCTCCAACAGATCAGTACATTAGTATTTATCTAAATGCTCAAACATTCCCAGTACATTAGTAAGATGAAGATCAAAATTTGATACTTAGACCTTCAGAAACCTGTCTTTATGGATCTGTGACTTGAGTACGCTCTTGTCGTTGGTATGCTGTTATGCTAGATATAAAAAAAAATGTATAATGATTAGGTAATGTCCTTAGTTTCGTTGCTCACTTGTACTTTTTTTGGCTGTGGGCAGGTTGTTTAATCTTACCTGTTTTATGACGTAGCCTCAACTGACCCATAATCTTACATAGCTCTGGAGAACACACATATGCGAGTTGTATTCAGGCTGCTGACCCAGTTGTGTGTACAATAGAGGGTGTTCTACTAAAGAAAACGTGCTTTCAGGTCTTGAAAAACAATTCTGTTGGAAGTTTGAAGCATTGTATTATCACAAGCACAAGAGCTAGAAGTGACTAAAGATATGTTTTGTCTCTTTTATAGACCAGGGAGATCTTTGGAGGATACTTCCCTATTAGGCATCTTTATCATTCTCTGGTCACGGTTTGCAATGTCTGCTAGAATATTAAGACACTGTTGAATATTTTCAGTTATCTGGGGCTGTCTAGATTATCTGTGTCTCACAACCATTCTAACCCTGGATGACAACCCCCCAAATTTATGAAAGTCAACAGCGATGCGTTAGTATTGTAAATATTGCTGTACTGTGGTGTGCTCAAGAAGGTCATTACTTGTGAGGGGTTTATATGTGTGCTTTTTCTATTTACCATAGCAATTTAAGACAGAGGCTTACCAGCAGCAGATAGAAATGGAAAGACTGAACCACCAGGCAGAACTATTGCTGAAGAAGGTGACAGAGGAGAGTGACAAACACACAGTTCAGGACCCTCTCTCAGAGCTCAAACTACTGTGGGACAGCCTAGAAGAAAAAATTATAAATAGACAGGTAAATATACTTGAAGGTGGGGGCTTTATTCATGACTTAGATTTTTTTAGAAAAGTTTTTTATTATGTATAATGTTTGTATCAATTTACACATTCCTTTTGGTTTGGAAATTCCGGAACTATGTATAATTTGAATTTTATAATTTATTCAGTTGCTTTTTATGGCTTTTAAACCCTTAGCAGTATTCTTTGTCACTTCCTCTGTCAGCAGTGCCATGTCAAATCTTTATTATTTCATTTTGATTACTTGATGACATCTTAAGTAGCAGTTGAAAACGTGTTTGTATGTGTAAAAGTAATATTAGCTGCTGCACTGAGCACTGTGAAAAAAAAAAAAGACACAACTTAATCCTTAACTGTTTCAGTGCTCTTTCCTTAAATCATCAAAGTGAAAGAGAGATCTAAAGATGCGGTGATTTGAAGTGCATTTTTTTTCTAAATTGAATCGTTTCACAACAAAGAAAAGGGTTTAAAGATCATGCACCAAATTGCGTTTATATTGAAATTATGTTTTATGGGATAAAAAACTGCTGTCATATCTCTGATGAGGGAACTGTCAGACTTAATTCTGCTGTGGTTACAGGGGGTGTTTGAAGGTGAGGAATGTAAGCCTGGCGCGTAAGGCTTTACACGGAATTGCCAACTCAGCTCTAACTCCAAAGCAGTTGCTTGTGTTGGATAACAGTTTCTCCCTGGGTTTTATGATATCATATGCATAGACTCCGCTCTGGATTATGGTGACTAATGGTAATAGAAGCCAATTCACCAGCATTGTGGAACCATTTGATTGTTGATTTTGTTTTTACTATAGCACAAGCTGGAAGGTGCCTTGTTAGCCTTGGGGCAGTTCCAGCACGCCCTGGATGAGTTACTGACGTGGCTGACGCATACAGAAGACTTGCTGAATGAACAGAAACCTGTGGGTGGAGACCCCAAGGCTATTGAAATTGAACTTGCCAAACATCATGTATGTAATTATAATGAGTATTAACTGAAATGTTCTTTTGATGTTTATCTTAGTGCTGAGCCTTGTAGTAAAACTTAGCGCTCGATAAGTAATTCTCGAGAGATTTTCAAGATGCAGATTTAACTGAAATGTAGGCTTGGAATAACTAATATCTTTCCTGCTCCATATTCCTTCCTTCCTTCCTTGCATATGCCACACAAGTGGCATAGCTTTTAGCCAAACAGAGCAGCAGCTCACCCTAATATTCACTTTTATTCACCTTAATTTGACCCAGGGAACTCAGAAGTTACTGAACTTCCTACTCTCTGTGAAGCAATAAACACCTTGATTAGTTCTGTTTAAGCCAGGTCTCACAAAATGTATGTGACCATTACATGTGTTTCTTTCTTGTTTCTTCCTTCTCAGAAAATAGTAATTTGTTCTTTTGAATTCTGCAGAATTGTATCTCAGTTGGGTCCAACCAACATGAAAAATGCCTCTCTGAAAATCTCAGCAAACTTTAGGGCTATCCACACCCCCATCTTTTTTCTCATTACATACCATTTAGGGTTTATTTTTTAATGCTTTTCTTTTTTAGTATTTTTACTGATTGTTGTGACTTTGGATGAATGGAAGAGTGCTTCCATTGTGTCTTTATTTTGAAGAGTATCTCCCAGGAGCAAGAGAACTTCTCTGCCTCTTTGTGTGGCTCGATGCGCTGTTGGTGACGGTGTGTTGTTTCTAGGCCTGAAGGTTTCAAACCAGCCTCATAAATCCTCTCATAATTCCTTTAAATCTGCCGTTTAAATTTTTGCCCTGTGTATGATGTGAAAAGTATTCAGAGTCCATTTTGGATTTAGAGAGAATAGGTTGAAATTGACAGTACACAGATAATTAAGGCATTTTCATTGTTTGTGGTAGTGCAGCAGTGCAGCTTCTAAGGCCTTTTGCATGGTCAGTAGGAACCTGAGCAGAGTGAAATATCTCTGTGCCCTGTGCAACTACTGTTGGAAACAGGCCCTTAAAAAAAAAAAAAAAGGAAAAAATTACAAATGCAGCTTCCACTCCATGAACCTTTTATATTCTTATCGAGCGGAAGTGTTTTACTCTGAAGCAGCATCCAGACATCGTTCCTGACTTCGCCTACCTTCGGTGCTGAAGGGGTTCAGCAAACACATGAGCAAATGTGCTTCCTTTTCATACAACTGAGCTTGTAGGTTAGAAAGTTCACACAGTAGTGCATCCTGTGGTAGCCTGGAAAAACATCCACCTCTGGAATAACTTTGGAAAGAATAAACCTTGTCCTTAGTGAGCCTCAGCAGGAAGGAAGGGAAAAGATGCATCTGCTTCTGTGGATGTCCCTTTTTGGAAAATAAAATAAGGGATACCTTCCCATGCTTAGCTTAGAAGAATGAAAGCAAATGTGATGCTGGTTTTGTATACAAGGGCTACTTGTGACTTGCTGCTCTATATAGTTTATTTTAAAGTTCCTTTGTATTTAGCTTTTTATTTTTCCAATGTGCTAGTGTTTTGAGGGAGGTGAGTTTGAACGAGACCCCAAGGAAGACAGCAGTCATAAGTATGAATTTCTTAGATGGGGCTTACCATTCTCTTCCTAACTATTTTACATACTCTCAATTCTTTATTTCTGGTATTCTTAAGCATTATTTATTTATTTATTTATTTAATATTTCTGAAAACGGCATCCTTTTCCCAAAAGCACTTTTTGCATTTTACACTTTTACTATGGTTGGTGATAACAACTTTTCAACCAGATGGAGGAGATCTTTTTGGTATTAGTATGGCAATCATTCCCTAGCTTTTAGCACAGCTGAAGTGTCCTGGTAGCCTGACACAAGGTGAAATGAGCTGCAGACCTGAAATGCATGAAAAGGTGCCACAGCAGTCAGGTTGTATGGCCCAGCAGGCATATGGTATTATTCCTCTCTCTGCTCTCTCGGGCTACTGTTCCACAAGCATTTGGCACTACATACATAATACTGTTTTGACACCTTACCCTCAAAACCAAAGAAAAATCCTATTAAAGAAAAGTATGTAGTATATTAAGGAAAGTGAAGACAGAATTCTTTACTAACAGTACCAATTTCAGAGAGAAATATATGCATTTAGGAAGAATATATTATTTTTTCTAAGGTATAAAACCAAAATATAGCATTTGGACAGGATGGTCTGTTATTGCTTTTGATTGAAGAGACCTTAATTATTAGCTTTAATTGCTGCTACCCGTGCTGATGTTAAACTATTGCCTTGCCACTAGATTAGAACTAGCTCAGTCATTTGTAGTTGCCTTCATTCAGTAATTTACCAAGGTTGCCCGACGTATATCCTGTGTTACAATTGTAGGTGCTACAAAATGATGTTTTAGCTCATCAGTCTACAGTGGAAGCAGTTAAGAAAGCAGGAAATGACCTGATTGAATCAAGTGCTGTTGAAGAAGCAAGTAATTTACGGAGCAAGTTGAAACTTCTGAATCAGCGCTGGAAAAACGTGTTGGAAAAAACAGAACAAAGGAAGCAGCAGCTGGACAGTGCCTTGATCCAGGTGAACAGGAAATGATTAAATAAAGAGATAACTCAGAAAAAGTGTCTTTTTACATGAAATACATAGATACATGCATTAGAAGTTTGGCCTAAATCAAAACCATAATGCAGACACTCCTGAATTTGGAGAAAGTTTGAATCCAGCTGTGTCTTCCACAGCTGGCCGCTGTCTTTTATAGTGCTGAATCAAGACTTCAGCTTTTTGGCCTACATATTTCTGTATGGGTATATTATTCAAGGAAAACATTGATCTCACAGTTGCTCATTTAGCCTGCTTTCAAGATTTCCATAGGTTTTGGGTTTTGTTTTTATCATTTGGATTGAATTGAGCTAGTTTAAATTTGGGGTTGGTGTTTTCCTTTTGGTTTTTTCTCTCTTTCGTTTCCTTTGGTTATTGTAAATATCTGATGAAATCCGTTGCCAGTGTAGTTCTGCATCTGAGCTAGGAGTAGAACGGAGAACAACATCCAAGCAAACTCATAAAATGATCTGGTATAATTTAGGCCCAAGGTTTCCATGGTGAAGTTGAAGATATGCAGCAATGGCTGACAGACACCGAACGTCAGCTGTTGGCATCCAAACCTGTTGGAGGCGTACCAGAAACAGCAAGAAAGCAGCTTAATACCCATATGGTAAGTATCAGTATTAGAATGCTTTGCAAATTACATTTTGGGACTAACTATCTTTCAAGAGTGTTTATGGTAAATACAGTGCATGTTCTATATATCACAATGTCTGTACAGTGTCTTAAAAAAACTTCATAGCCTTCAAAACAACACTTGTTATTTTCAATGTAGGAAAAGTAGTCATTTGGGAGACGCCCAAAACTGAACCATTAATAGTGATGAGACAGAAATAAAATAACTTTTGCATCCTTGTCCTCAGAAAGAAAAACAGAGAAGCATTTACAGATTTTATCAGTGGTTCCTAGTTGTCTTTTCCCTTCTGTCCTCATAACTACATTTATGCTTTTTCTAAGATAGGAAAATTAATCTATTAGCAATCCACATTCATTGAATCTTGAATTAAGAGACTTGATTCTTTATCTAACCAAAGCTGACATGAAAATCATCATTAGCACAGATGTAATAAGGACTACTGGCTCAGATAGAGACTCTGCTTTAATTAGAAGTGGCAAGATGATCAGGATGCCTGAATTATTCCCTTCATTCCTTTCCTTTCTTTAAAAGAAACATTCTATGAATTTCTCCCCCCCTGTAGAACCACAGACCTTAAAAAGATGACACTTTAACTTAATATTTTACCTCAAAGGAAGGAGGTTCATAGTGACCCATTTATATAAAATCATGGTGTGCTGTTAGGCCAGGATATAACCCCAAGCCCAGTGATCTGAGCTCCTGACCTCCTGGCTCAGATGTAAGAGTTATATTTGCTGAACTGTCCTTGAACTCGAATATGCCTGACGTGATTTCCATTAGAACACTGCCTTGTCATAGCTTTAAAAATCAGATTTTATTTTGGAATGGTGACAAAGGTCATTGCCCACCAATGTGAGGCACTTTTTTTTTTTCTTTTTTTTTCCTCCAAAATTTACTAGTAACTATTTTTGAGAAGGAAAATAATTTACAGTTTTAAAATTAGTTGTGACAGGAAACTAGGACAAAACACAGAGATAACCTTACAGTTTTGAACCACACACACACCCAACCCTTCTCTTTTTGTCTTAGGGAAAAAAAGAGGTAAAAAGAAAGCCTTTTTTTTTTTTTTTATTTCCTGTGAGAGTGGAGCATAATCCCAATTCCATGGGAGTCAATGGAGCTTTTTCTGTTTAAAGTCAGATCAAGACCAAAAAATTTCCCCTGGAAAGTGTCAGGGTTTTCTTTGGTCCATTCTCTTGCTATGCGAATCAACAAGGCATTTTCTATACTTAGTGCATTTACGGATTGATAGTTAAAGAATCTTTAAACTGAATATAATATTATAATTGGAACAAATGTGAGTATGCCCCCAGTTATATGTAGTCTATATATATATAATAATTTCCTAACTATACATGTACATTTTAACAGATGCCCCCAGTTATATGTAGTCTATATATATAATAATTTCCTAACTATACGTGTACATTTTAACAGGTTGTTGCTATGCTCTGGGCCATCATACACTGCAGGCGTTGACTGGTTATCCTTTAATGTATAGAACCCTTAAAAATTAGGACTTGATTTCAGTTTAGTTAAACCTGAATGAATCTGGGCAGCTATTTGTGAATTCCTTGAAATGTTGAGGCCTCTTGTCCTGTTGAGTACAATTTATCATACGTTCTAAATTCAAAGTTGCCCCTAAGTGATACAAACCATGTTAATTTGTGACCTGAAACCAAAGAATAAAGTTTTGCGCTGTATTTTGATTTGTTTCTCATTGGAAAGAATGTGATGAACCATCTTCTTGAGTATAAGTTTCTACAGATATGGATAAAAAAAGCCCTCAACCATAATCAGTTCAAAATGGAGTTGAGACTGGGCAGCATTTCCAGCTACGGCAACTCCAGGAAAACAAAAGATATGAAGAGACGTGACAGGACACCAGCAGGGAAGGGGCTTAAAAAGAGGTCTCTTTGGCTGATCCAGTGCTGCCCAAACAATTCCTCTGCTTTTCTTAAGAGAATCGTTTTTCTCAGTGCCTCCTTTAAAATAACTTCAATTGCTTCTACCCTCTTAAGAGTGTGACCAGTGCAGGTTTAAATACGGTGATGAACCCCTGCCTTTGACTGAGCGTAGCAGAGGTGCTCCAACCCCCTGATCGTTCTTGTGGCCATGTTAATTTGTGACGTGAAACCGAAGAATAAAGTTTTGCGCTGTATTTTGATCTGTTTCTCATTGGAAAGAATGTTATGAACCATCTTCTGGAGTATAAGTTTCTACAGATATGAATAAAAAAAAGCCCTTAACCGTAATCAGTTCAAAATGGAGTTGAGACTGGGCAGCATTTCCAGCTACGGCAACTCCAGGAAAACAAAAGATATGAAGAGACGTTACAGGACACCAGCAGGGAAGGGGCTTGAAAAGAGGTCTCTTTGGCTGATCCAGTGCTGCCCAGACAATTCTTCTGCTTTTCTTAAGAGAATTGTTTTTGTCAGTGTCTCCTTTAAAATAACTTTAATTGCTTCTACCCTCTTAAGAGTGTGACCAGTGCAGATTTAAATACAGTGATGAACCCCTGCCTTCGACTGAGCTCAGCCTCAGTGTCTGGGGTCTCTCCTGCTGTGCTGTGTCTCCTGTGGTTACTTCTGGGGGTTCTTCTGCTTCAGTGAAGGTGCCCTGGGGAGTTATGGAAACCAGAAATATTGTAGGGAGGTTGGGAGCAAAGGAGGAAGCAGTCTAGGTGACACCACTTTTCATAGTCCTCAGAAAGGAAGCAAGGAAGCTTTCTGTCCTGTTAAAAAGACAGGTTGATGTAGTGCTGGGAGGTATGGTTTAGTGATGGGGATGCTCCTTGTTTGTTGTGTGGGTGTCTATTTTTGTCAGTTAGGTTGACGGTTGGACAAGATGATCTTTAAGGTCCCTTCCAACCTAGAAGATTCTGTGATTCTGTGATTCAGCAAAATAAGAATTTTATAAACAGTGATTTTTATATTGTTAAATCGACTGAGCTCAGCCTCAGTGTCTGGGGTCTCTCCTGCCGTGCCGTGTCTCCTGTCGTTACTTCTGGGGGTTCTTCTGCTTCAGTAAAGGTGCCCTGGGGAGTTATGAAAACTAGAAATATTGTAGGGAGGTTGGGAGCAAAGGAAGAAGCAGTCTAGGTGACACCACTTTTCATAGTCCTCAGAAAGTAAACAAGGAAGCTTTCTGTCCTGTTAAAAAGACGGGTTGATGTAGTGCTGGGAGGTATGGTTTAGTGATGATGCTTCTTGTTTGTTGTGCGGGTGTCTATTTTTGTCAGTTAGGTTGACGGTTGGACAAGATGATCTTTAAGGTCCCTTCCAACCTAGAAGATTCTGTGATTCTGTGAAATCTTACAGCTCGTGGTTGAACCTCCTTCCTGCTTTGCTCTCCTCGGCGGTTGGGCACAACCCTGTGTACAGTATCTCTTAGCCCAAAGAAAACATTGAGTTTTGGCTCTTGTCCAGGCAATCAGAGGAAAAAGTTCTTTTCCTCTGATTTACAAGCTACTTAGTTCTAATCTCCTGGAAGATGTCCCTCATTTGGGAGCTTGCAGCAACTTCATTGGTACATTTTGGATGGGTCCCTTCCAACCTAGAAGATTCTGTGATTCTGTGAAATCTTACAGCTCGTGGTTGAACCTCCTTCCTGCTTTGCTCTCCTCAGCGGTTGGGCACAACCCTGTGTACAGTATCTCTTAGCCCAAAGAAAATGTTGAGTTTTGGCTCTTGTCCTGGGAATCAGAGGAAAAAGTTATTTTCCTCTGATTTGCAAGCTACTTAGTTCTAATCTCCTGGAAGATGTCCCTCATTTGGGAGCTTGCAGCAACTTCATTGGTACATTTTGGATGGTGTGTTACAAACATGCACTTTTGAGTAACATGCACTTTTGATTGCCACCTCATCTTTAACAAGGTTCAATGAGAAGCATTAGTAGAATAGTTAGCAGGTAAAACAGTTCTTACCATTATTCTTCCTGCTTTCTTTGTGTGTCTAAAATGTCTAAAGGCTCTCACCTGGCAAGTGAAGGAAGATACAGACAAAACAAAAGAGAAGGTGTACACCAAAGCATTCTAATCTCCTGGAAGATGTCCCTCATTTGGGAGCTTGCAGCAACTTCATTGGTACATTTTGGATGGTGTGTTACAAACATGCACTTTTGAGTAACATGCACTTTTGATTGCCACCTCATCTTTAACAAGGTTCAATGAGAAGCATTAGTAGAATAGTTAGCAGGTAAAACAGTTGTTACCATTATTCTTCCTGCTTTCTTTGTGTGTCTAAAATGTCTAAAGGCTCTCGCCTGGCAAGTGAAGGAAGATACAGACAAAAGAGAAGGTGTACACCAAAGCGGCCCTCCCAAGTTGTCCCACCAACTTTTGAAGGTGTATGGGTTAGGTCTGGGCTTTCAGCACACTGTATAATGCTGGGGCTTTTTGTATTTCAGCTACAGATGGACTTTAAACCAACCAAGTTGTAGCAAATCTTGTGCAGTGAGTCCATAGTACTTTCTTTGCCAAGCACTGGATCTCAGAGAAAACATCTGACAGACAATACAGGTTCTCATTTCCTGAAGAATTGGGCCCTTCCTTTGCTCATTTGGCTTTTTATTAATTGCACGTGTTTCCTTTATTAGTCTTAATCGTACCCGGTAAATGTTGCAGGAGGAATAAATATTATACTGGTTTTGTAAAGAGTATTGAATTTCTACCTGAATTTTTTTTGTGTGTGTGTGCTTTCTTTATTTAGGAACTTTGTGCTGCCTTTGAAGCCAAAGAAGAGACATATAAGTGTCTAATGCAGAAAGGCCAGCAGATGCTTGCAAGATGCCCAGAGTCTGCCGAAACAAACGTTGAGCAGGACATAAATAACTTAAAAGAAAAATGGGAATCAGTACAAACAAAGCTCAGTGAAAGAAAAGTATGTGTTTTTACATAAAAATAGAAGTGCAAATCATGTATTTAAGGATGTTTATGCACACATCCTTGCTTGATCTTTTAGATTTAAAATCTATCGTAGAGACAGTTATGCAGAATTCATTGGTATGTTTAGAAAGTAAATAGGATTCAAGAAGTTGATTATCCATAGTTGAAGAGAGGATAGCTGAGAGCAGCACAAGCCTGTTCTATAGAAATGTGTTAACTGATACTGATAATGCTCATTTGGTAGGACAAGGGCTTTTCTGGTTTTTATTACAGTAATCATAGACATGAGAGAGTGAATAAAATTATTTGATCATTCTAGTTTATCTCCTTCTCAGTACAGAATTGCCGCATTAATTTTCCTAGCTTTTATCCATTTTTTTTCTTTAAATTCCCAAGCACTTGGCCTTCTGCCACTTTCTTCAAGTGACTACCTTCTGTTCTAACGTAGATCAATGATTCCACTGATACACAACATACGTTTTCTTATTATTAATTTCATTTTGCTTTCATTCCTTCACGAAGTATAGTCCATTTGTTCTACCTCAATCAAACAATGAAGAATATCAATAATTCCAAACAGAGCAACTCTCTGTAGAGCCCTGATACGTATAAAGCACAAATATTTCACTAATAACTGAGTTATATTTTCAAGTAAGAATGTTGGTTTCTGTTAAGGTAACTGTATAATGTAAGAATGTCCAACTAATTAATGCCCAACATGAGCACGTGCTTTCAGGAAGCTGTAAGGTTGGAGTGCTCAGCTGGGACAGCTGAGCCTGAAAATCTGAGCCTGAGTTTGAAAATCTGACTGCTGTCGTATAATCAACAAAAATTCTGTACCCAACAGCAGTCTCAGATGAGGCAACCAAGGTGACAATCGGGCTTTATTAAAAAGAGGTGGTCTAGGCAAACTTGTTCTTTGTTTAGTACAAGAGAATAAATTAGATGAGCTCTTAGAGGCTTGTCGAACTGCACTGCCACCTTAGATTTCTGTGATTTTACTGGTTCTGTATTGAAATGGATAAATCCACATGTCCCATTAGGATTAAGTAGCAGATGATGTGATGTTCTAATGTGGAAAATTTTCTCTCGATACTAGGGTGCTGTATTTTCTACTCATCTATCATTCATAATTTTACTGTTACTCTTCTATCCATCTCCTTTAATACGCTCAAATGTAGGCTGTTACTTGAAAACTCAGAAACTTTGAGTTAGAAATGTGTTTTAAAATGCTAAACTAAAATGGTTTACTTCATGAACTAAAATGGTTTACTTGGCTGAAGCCCCTGCACAATATCAACTGCTATTAAAGTATGACGTATCTTTACAGACCAAACTGGAAGAAGCCCTCAATTTAGCAATGGAGTTCCACAACTCACTTGAAGATTTCGGCAATTGGCTTACTCAGGCTGAGCAAACTCTGACCGCAGCTTCTCAGCCAAGTCTTATCTTGGATACTGTCTTGTTTCAAATTGATGAACACAAGGTATGTAAAGAAACAGATGTGTAATGTTTTTCTCCCACTCTGTGGAGATACTTTAACAATGTCCAAATGAACCCTGTAACGCTGGCACTCAGAGAAACATTTAATTTGTTTTAGAATTGCATTTTATAGTCTTTCTCACTACATCATTCTTTATCAGACTGGGGTTTTTTTAGTGTTTACCCAGTGCTTGAGCAATGTACTATTTGGAGTAATTTTCTCTCTTTTTTCCAAGGTTTTTGCCACAGAAGTGAATTCTCATCGAGAGCAGATCATAGAGCTGGACAAAACTGGAACCCATTTGAAATATTTCAGCCAGAAACAGGATGTTGTCCTTATTAAGAATCAGCTGATTATTGCACAGAGTCGATGGGAAAAAGTAGTTCAACGCTTAGCTGAAAGGGAAAGAGCTTTGGATGATGCAAGGAAGAGAGCCAAAAAGGTAATCGGACAACAGCTGTTGTACAACTCTTTGAACTTAACTGTAATTACATCCAGACTCTTGAAGAATATGGTGCTTTAAAGCACTTTCAAGTAAATCCGCGTTTAGCGTAACAGACACCGTTGAGTTAGTGGAGCAATTTCTGTGATTCAATCATAAAGCACTTCATTTGTGAGGTGAAAGCATCATTTTCAACCCAAGCAGTGACTTCTGTCTGCAATACAGGATAGTCTGAAAGAAGAAAGTTACAGTATGGCTTCCACATGTATATATCGACCGTCCTCAAAAAGCAGCTTCACAGTCAACCCTTCTATTCTAAAGAATGTTTTTGAATGCCTTTCAATAATCTGTGGGAGTATTCCTTTAGTATTTTCTCCTTGAGTTTACATTGTGCCCAGATTAAGCCTCATCACTTCTTCAATCTCTTATGTTAGTTACTAGACCAGTATCTTCTGTGTGGTAAGGTGCCTCCGTTTATTTCCTTAAAAACCTGGAGGCTTTTTTCCACGGGTTTCCTCACCAGGAAGCTCTCATGGCTTTTTTCCCTAGATTCATGTTTCCCTCTCTGAGGAAAATAAATGATAAGATGCAAAATACATGAGAGGAATGTAACCTGTTTCAATGTCAATAGGACGTTCTAGCATCTATTTATTCAAATGAACATGACCTTTCAAGATTTTATCATGTTCACAGCCGAACGTATTCCCATCTTCACTACCACTCAGCTTATAGAGTAGAAACTTCTCTGAGCAATAAATTAGCCCATAAGCCAATCAAATGTTATTTATTTTCCAGCAGTTTCTCTTGTGCACTCACAGATACAGCAATGCTGAATACAGTAAGTTGTTAATTTAGGACGACAACTATCTATGCAGAACAGGGAAGGAGTACAGAAGGGTACTGGTGTCAAGGCCTGACCCACGGCCCTGAACAACAGGGGCCAGGAGCCTTAAGGAGTTTCTGAACTATTTCTTTTCATGTGTAGGCAGCCCAGGCAAGAAGAATTTTCAAAAGAGATGCAGAGGGAGAATCAGCCAGCTTAGAAAAATGGAATCCCAAAGGGATGCTGCTTTGTGAAAGCTGGTTGAATTTTTGGTCTTTCCCTGCTTCCTTTCCTGAAGCACTCTCTTTGTTGAGACAGGAAGGAAGATCAAGAATCTGTTCCTTGCCCGTTAAGATAGCATTTGAGGTAATGAGAGCATTTGTGAGTGTCCCAAAGAAAATCTTGAGCAGTCATCCAGATGGGAGTTTTCCCCAGTGATTTACTGCTGTTGTGCCATATAGGCAATAGCTAAACCCCATTCTCGCTACATTTTTAGTAATGAATAGCAAATGCAGGAATCTGAATGCCCAGCACATCAACAGAAGTTACCAATATGTCTTGGAAAGATGCATAATGTGTGGGCAGATCATGGACATAAAAGGTTGCTAATTCACGTGGGAGAAGGGAGGCTAAGTCCAGTGGGCACATGATTGAGCAAGTCCCTGTTTGAGAGACCAGGGAGCAAAAGCTCACCAAATATTTTCAAAGTCTGCAGATGGACATAAAAGGTTGCTAATTCACGTGGGACAAGGGAGGCTAAGTCCAGTGGGCACATCCCTGTTTGAGAGACCAGGGAGCAGAAGTTCACCAAATATTTTCAAAGTCTGCAGGGTACTTGTTTGGCCTGTAGAGAATGAGTTGGGTTTAGTGTTTTCAAACTATTCTATGAATCAGTGAATTTCAGAATCCGTGCAAATCTCATTTTCTTGCAGTTCCATGAAGCCTGGCACAAACTTATGGAATGGCTGGAAGAGTCAGAGAAAGCTTTGGACTCAGATCTTGAAATTGCAAATGAACCTGACAAAATAAAGATGCAGCTCGCGCAGCATAAGGTGAGTCATGAGTGATGAAATACTTATATCTCATTGGGCACTTTGTAAGTCTATCACCATTCCATCAGCAAAAGAAGTAGATTTGTGGACTCATTACCATGGAGTGCATATTAGCTTTAAATTTAATGGTGGTGTGCTGCGAGTGAGGAGTGGAAAAAAAAGTCCACAGGTTTTTTTGCACTTATCCTGACTATGAAGTCTAGTTGAACCTCTCAAGCCTCTCCCTCTGGATGGCATCCCTTCCCTCCAGTGTGTTGACTGTATCACACAGCTTGGTGGTGGTGGCAAACTTGCTGAGGGTTCTCTCAATCCCACTGCCCATGCTGCCAGCAAAGATGTTGAACCACACTGGTCTCAGTACCAGTTCCTCAGTACCCTGAGGAAGGCCACTCCACTTGTCACTGGTCTCCACTTGGACATTGAGCCGTTGAACACAACTCTTTGAGTGCGACCGTCCAGCAGATCACTGGATATTGCAGGCTTTTTTGAGTCCTTAAAACCACAATTTTACCATCTGGTTAATTGGGTTGGGATTTTCCTTTTAGTGCTACGGGACCACCTCAAAACTGAAAAATAGTCTTGTATTTTGATTGGCAGTTGCTTTTTATGTGAAGTGGAAACATTAATTAAATCCTCTAGAAAGTACAATGACACCACTAATAGCAAAGGTTCTTTCTCTTCATGGGATTCAAAATTCCAGGACTAGCTTTCCACAAACACAGCTGCTGTGAGGGAAAATGTAAAAATCTCCCTAATTGACCTGGCTTTTCAAATAATCATAATGTAAGAGCTCTGTAGTTCCATCACACACAGAGTAAAAGGATGGATGGAAGAAGTCTTTACTTCATTTTTCCTTTTGAGCCTAGAATAATATATTGCTGGGGATCAAGTGGGTGAGTGGTAGAATCTTCAGAGACGGACTGTCTCTCAAGACTTACCTTGGAACAGTTTTGTCAGAGAAAGAGTATTGAAAGATCATATATTTTTCTACATTTTGACATATGTCTACTTTTCAAGTCAATCTTATTGATCTCCATTTACTCCTATTTTTATATTCTGCATAATATCCCCAAGGGTTTGCATATCTAATTTGCCCCTCCCAAAGTAGCTTCTGATGATTGCTTTTACCTCTGAGAAGTTTTGCAATATATATTAATGATTGGTTACTGCATCAGTCTGCTTTACTTTTTTATCATGGCTCAGTTTATGTGATGACCTAAGTGTTTTCCTGGTTGATAAACAAAATTCTCCTTTAATATGGGAGAGTTGGCGATTGGTCAAGGAAAAGTAGTTTTACCTATGTTTGCTGTAGATAAAACCTACACTAACATTCTGTTATGCTAACTCTGCAATTTCAGTTTGTTCTGGCATTGCTGCTGTTGCCAGAATTTGAAGTCAGCAGTAGGAATTTAAAAAAAAAAAAATTAAACACCTTTCTGTTAAGATAGTCTTTCTTGTCTTCTCTGATGCCATCAATCGTTCAATCCTTCCACTTCCCTCTTTTCTTTCTATGAAGTTCAAACTCCTCATGAGTACGGTCAACACGTTGTGACTTTGCTTTTGAGCCCTGAGGTTTGACTCTACTTTTATTCTCCTCCCCTCTTCTGAAATCTTAAACTTGGTAATCGCATTTGTTCTTTCTACCTACAGCAGTTGTTTTATGAGCCCAAGCTTCCTCGCATGGATTGGCAGCCTCGTCGCTTCTCTCAAACATATCTTTTCTTCAGCTTCTTTTCATATAAAATGCCCGCAGAGAATAGCTACTTGAGTTGCTCCAATCTCATTTCTCATTAAGAAGTGGGCTGGAATGTGGTACAGGGACGTTAGGATTGAAACTGGCAATTTGGAGGAAAAAGATGAATGTGTGTGAGTGAGGGAGTTCTGTGAACTTTGTGACTTTAAACTTCAAACAACCCCCCCAAGAAATCAACTCAATTGTTTTTTAATGAGCTGTCAAACCTCCCAACGCTGCAATGTCCTTCCTTGTATTTTGAGTCTTTTCCTTCCACTCCCACATATACCCCCCGTGTCTGTCTTTGTCTTTTGTGTCCAGCCTTGAAGGTTTCCTTGCTCCATTTAGTTAACGATTTTGCTATCTGAACTGAATGTGTGCTCTCTCTGTGCTGTAAGCAATAATTTGGACTCGCTCCTTGCCAGTTTTTACTGCCAAAAAAAAAAGGCCCTGAAAGAGAAAAGCCAAGATAATATGTTTTCTCATATCTAGTGTGTTGCCAGGGACTTTCGGGGGTTATTCATGGTGTGTTTATCAGCAATTTTTTCTCATTTTTAGAAGTCAGGAATGGAAAAACCCTTACTAGGTCACCCAATCCATTCCTGGGCTAATGCTGAATGTTCCTCACTGTACATTTATATGAACCTGGCTAATTTTATCTGTACATTCCCATCTTCCTTTGAAGGGAGGGAGGTAGTTAATTACTGAGATTTCGTTCATCTTACCTGTCTGCTCCTGGCAGCTAAAACGAAAATCCAATCTCAATTACACCTCTGTGGAATCAAATGAAAGTAGATACTGTGGAGTGTGTGTAGTCCCTCAAAGAATGAATGGGCTGCAACTCTTTGTTCACCGTTATATCTGTTTCTCCTGCATCATTCTTCTATGGAGCAATACCATTTTGTTTTCTCATGCGAATCAAGTAACACTGTGTATGTAGTGTTAAGTAGTTAATAAACCCCATCGAATGAAAAGAGCACAGACACATTGATTGTATTGAAGGAACTTCTATAAAAGTTCCTCTACTTGGGAAATTATTTTTATTGTAGTTCTAGCTTGACAAAGGATTTTGTTTTCTCATGCGAATCAAGTAACACTGTGTATGTAGTGTTAAGTAGTTAATAAACCCCATCGAATGAAAAGAGCACAGACACATTGATTGTATTGAAGGAACTTCTATAAAAGTTCCTCTACTTGGGAAATTATTTTTATTGTAGTTCTAGCTTGACAAAGGTGTTTGTATTCTTTCTTAAAATGTGTTTCTTTGTTGATTCTTTCTTAAAATGTGTTTCCTTGTTGTTTTATATAGAATCATAGAATTGTCTAGGTTGGAAGGGACCTTAAAGATCATCTAGTCCTACCATCAACATAACCCTGACAAAAAAATAAATAAGAAATAAGCAATAAAAAAACAACAACAAAAAAACCACAAACAAACAAAAACCTAAAAACCACTAAACCATATTCCTGAGGACCATGTCAGCCCATCTTTTGAACACCTCCAGGGATGGTGCCTCAACCACTTCCCTGGGCAGCCCATTCCAATGCTGGATAACCCTTTCCATGAAGAAATCTTTCCTAATATCCAATCTGAACCTCCCCTGGTGCAACTTGAGGCCATTTCCCCTTGTCCTATCTCCCATGATTTGGGAGACGAGACCAACTCCCACTTCTCTACACCCCCCCTTCAGGTAGTTATAGTTATATATAGTTATATGAGGAAAATGAAAGTAAGGAAATGGTCAATTACAAAATAAATGCTGCCTTGTTTTTTCTGATAAATTTTGATCCTCGGTTCCCTCTGGATCCTGAAATAGCCCCAGTGTAAGGACAGTGCAGTGCAAAATACCAGTCAAGTTTTAAAAAGAGAACCTTGAATCACCCTAGGTAAAGCTGTCGTGTTGTCCACATGGCATAACCCAATGCCTGCCTCTTCAAGATACCTCCATTCCACCCGAGCTCTCCCTGACACACGTTCACATCTAAAAGGAACAGATGATTGTGTGGACACACGGGGAAGTTGGTGGAAGAGTTGTGAGCTACCATGGCACAGGTAGTGGGAGTGGGACCAGCTTGCCCGTTGGGAGGTGAGCAGGGACACGTGTGGCCATGAGGAATCTTTGCCATCTTTACATGCCCCGAGGAATTGCTCCAAGTTGGAAGTGGTAATCATTTCCTTGCTGGATTTGATGATGCCAAACGTTGCTCTTGAGAACCAGATGAAAATCTGTTTCAGCAAACACTGGGCAAAAACTCTTTTGGCCTACTAGTATTTTTTTGTGACTAAAAGAAAAAAAAGAATATTTGATTCTGTATGTAAGTTTCCTAAAGCAAACTTCTGATTTATTTTTAACTCCTAGCAGTTCATGAAGGTGTGAAATAAAACACTCAAAGCATTCTTCCCACTTAAAAGCTGCTGTGCAGTGCTGGTTTTTGTCTTTTGGCAGTGTTCCTTTATTTAATTATTTGCTCTGTCAGTCGGGTGACTCCCCTGCAGTATCAGCTGAGCTGTGTTTCTGTGGGCTCCTCTCTGCCTGTGCAAAGCCTGGGCAGAAGGAGCTGGCAGAGCTGGCAGGCAGATGCAACTGCTGTGTCACTGTCATCTTCCAAAGTCCCTGGATCACAGAAACCTGCTTGGGATCCTGAGTTCCAGCCCAAACTGACTTATTGGGATGTCAACTGGCTGCTTCTTGTGCCTGGGTTTGTGAGCTTTTGGCATACAATTCTTTCCAGTTATAGCATGCTTCGATCTGAGGAGGGTTAAATGCTTGTGGTCAGAGGTTTCCCAGCTTGGCCATGCTGAGGTAAAACAGAATGACCTTTGTAGCCCTTGGGATGCTCTACACTGGCTTGAAATCTTTGTATGTAAAAATATAGTGTGGAGATTGCTCAGTTCATGGGTCCCGAAGTAGCAGTTCTTTCACATTCTTCTGATGACCAGGCATCTCCTTGCTGAACCTTAGGAATATGATGCTGGGACAGGAATCATTGCTCTCACTGAAGGAAGGATTTTCCAGAAGTTGTTCCAGCAGACATAGAGCTACATTTCCAGAGAGGACAAAAGGCAGGGACTCTGCTAGTGTCAAGCCCCGTATAATTTGAGGTGCACTGTGGCCCTAGCAGACTAGAAATTTTGCAGTAGGTTTAAATTTTTCTTGCAGTAACACTTACAATTTCCATTGCAAATAACATATTGAAGATTAATTAATTGTGGCCTGTAAGCATGTAATGCTATATGGGTGTTTTCTTTTTCTTCCATATGTGTAGGAGTTCCAGAAATCTCTTGGTGCTAAACATTCGGTGTATGATAACACAAATAGGACTGGACGCTCCTTGAAAACCACCTTGGCTGATGACAATTTGAAACTTGACAATATGCTGAGTGAACTAAGGGACAAGTGGGATACAATTTGTGGAAAATCAGTGGAAAGGTAAATGAAAACCAATGTAATTATTCAACAGATAAGATAAAAGACTTAGGAGAATTCTTTTGCCTTCTGTTGTGTAAAATTAAAACCAAAGTGACTAGCTTATTTGATAATTTAGAGTGCCAAAGCAGTAAAATACTAGAAATGTGTGCTTTACTGATGGTATGAAAGAGGACTGGGGGGGATTGGGGAAGGAACGGTCCCACAATTTAAAAAGGGAAACACTGATTTAAAGCCCTTAGTTAAGATTTTATGCTGAAAATGTTTTCTTGAAGTGTATTCATGCTTATTTTTATGTGTGAATGTGTTAATGTTTTTTTCTCCCCAGACAAAATAAGCTGGAGGAAGCCCTGTTATTTTCAGGACAGTTTACTGATGCTCTGCAAGCTCTTATTGACTGGTTGTACAAAGTTGAACCTCAGCTGGCGGAAGATCAGCCAGTACATGGAGACAGTGATTTAGTGATGAACCTGATCGACAATCACAAAGTAATTCCAAAAATATTCTTTTTTAATTACTAGGTTGCTCGCAAGTGTAGCATTTTGATGCTCCCTTTGCTTGGCTATTCTGTAATTTTTAGAAACATGGGATAGTTCTGTAACACAGACATGTCATCGAGAACGTAAAGTGTTTTAAAACATACGTGGAAGACAACATTTAGTGACTCATTGACACCAGTTAGCATTGAGATATTCTGTTTAATGCTGCTATCCTGTGTATTTATGAGTATCGTGTCAAAAATCATGAGTGTTCATTTATGAATTTCACTGAATTTCACTGAATTTTTAGAGTTGGAAGGGACCATAGAGATCATCT